TTTGTAGCTAGTAGATTGAGATGATTCCAGTGTTTGCATAAAAAAGCAAAAGGCCCACAGTAGCCAGGCTAACTACTAATGGAAAAGAACACAGCTAGAGGACCAAGGCTGGCTGATGCCAAGGCTCACTCTAAAGCTACAGAAACCAACACGGTGGTATTAATAAAGGAACAAATACACCAATGGCAGAAACACAGAGCCCAGAAGTAGACCTTCACACAGTCAAATGTTCTCTGAAAAGGAGCAAAAAACAAAGACAGATACTGCACTTTTCTCCCATATGTGCAACCTAAATTTAAAATTATTCATGTGTTTGTAGGTCATGAAACTAGAAAGGGGATTAGGCAGGGGAGGGGAGAGATCTTAATGGTGGGAAACAGGGTAATGGAATACCTGTAATAGGAAAGCAGGAGGGAAAACTGACAGGGGAAGGGATCCAGCTGGATGTGGAGAGGCACAAGAGCAGTGGGGGAGGGTAACTAGAGAACCAAGTAAAATCTACATCATGGTGAAATCCCTTACTTTGTACACCAACCTCACAGAACTCAATATAAAAATGAGATTGACCTCCAACTCAGAGATCCACTTGCTTCCGCCTCTCAATGAAAGGCATATGCCACCATTTCCTGCTTGAAAAGATTAATTTTTTTTAAAGCAATAAAAGGGAGACAAGACAATCCTTTAAGAATTGGTGCTTGAGTAATCATGTGCAAAGAGAGAAAGGGGCGGGGAGGGACATGAATAACAGCCCTTTTACACTCTTCCGCAAAAAGCAATTCAATGGATCACAGATCTAAATGTAAAATGCAGAACTCTCCCATTTCACCAGGGAAACTAAGACCCAGAGAATAAATTAAATGAAGGTTACACAGCTCAGAAGAGAACATAATTCAAACCTGACTATGCTATTCCAAAGCCCTATTTCCTCACCAAACTTTATCTTTCCTTGACGGATCGTTCCTCACCTTTATAAAGAAATGCAAGCTTGGCATGGGGGCACACACTCGAATCCCCAGTACTACAGGCTGAGGTAGGGGGATGGTGCATCAGAGACAAGCCTACAGCTACAGTGAGACTGCCCACCCCCCACCCCCAAAAATGGAAAAATAAAAGTCACTGCATTTAGATTCATGTTAAATGAAACTCCAGTGCTCTTACCACTAAAAAGAAAAAAGAATGCAATTGCCAGCTTTCATCTTAGTTCTGTTTCACAGCAGGGGGACCCTAGTCAGGGATCATTATGGATGTCATGTACTTCTAATCAAGCAGACCAAACATTTAGGGCCTGAGTCTGTAAACTTACACCATTGTCAAAGACATAATGAAATTCCTTCTAAGGGTTTTGAGCTCTCTTAAGAGTATTATCCATTCATTTCATTAGCTTATGAATTTCACTTTTCTAAAAATATGTATTGCTGTTTTGCCTGCATGTATCTGTGTGAGGGTGTCAGATCCCCTGGAATTGGAGTTACAGTTGTGAGCTGCCATGTGGGTGCTGGGAATTGAACCTGGGTCCTTTGGAAGAACAGCTGGTGCTCTTAATGCTAAGTCCTCTCTCCAGCCCACGAATTTCATTCTTTTAGAAGTATATACTGGCCGAATGGTACTGTCAGACACCTTTAATCCCAGCACTTGGGAGGCAGAGGTAAGCAGATCTCTGAGTTTGAGGCCAGCCTAGTCTACAGAGTGAGTTCCAGTACACCCAGGGCTACACAGAGAACTCTTGTCTCAAAAACAATCAATAAAGAGTATATGCTGAGTGCCTATTATGTGCAGGCAACTTTCTGCACTCTGGAGGCAGAGGGAAGCAAGAAGATCTGGAAGCTTCAGACTAACACTGGCTCCAGACAAGAGTTTCAGACAAGCCTGGGTTTTATAGTGAGAACCTTTCAAGAAAGGGGACGCAGAGGTGCAGATATCTGCCGCTCGGTACCAGAAGCTTTAAATCTGTGGAGTGCTGTACTCTAGAGTACAGTGGGAGTCAAGCATGCAGTCTATTTTCTTTTTCTTTTTTTTTTTTTTTTAAGATTTATTTATTCATTATGTATACAGAAGAGGGTGCCAGATCTCTGGTTGTGAGCCACCATATGGGTGCTGGGAATTGAACTCAGGACCTCTGGAAGAGCAGTCAGTGCTCTTAACCTCTGAGCCATCTCTCCAGCCCCGCAGTCTCCTATTTTCTGATGTCACATTTTCAAAAAAGTAAAATTAAACATGTGAGTGACATAAAAATATATTTTATTTAACTCAACACATCAAAAATCATTTCAGCAGATAATTGGCTATTTTACACTCTTTGGAGAAGGGTTGTGAACTTGTCAGTGTGCAGTGGTCACTCACAGCATCTCTCGGTTCAGACTGGTCACATTTCCAGTGCTCAGCAATCACATACAGGGCTAGGGATGGAAAGGACACAGGGCTAGGGGAAAAGCCAAGTACAGTTAAGATTCTCGAGTCAAAATGTTCATTCTTCCTCACTGGAGGCCTTGAACTTCCTAAGCCCTTCTGATTCCCAAACCCAGGTTCATCCCGCCACAAGTTAAGAGAAGACAAAGAGCTTTGGCCTCATTTCAAACACAGGGATCTAGCTGGCCTCAGTACACCAAACACCACTCATCCTTTCACTTCAAAGAGCCTCGCTCAGCTCTCATTCTCCAGGTCTGTAAACGACCTTACTGTCTCTCAGCTCACTCTGGTCATCTTTATTTTATCAATGGATCACTGGAGCATCTCACACAGGTAGTTTTAAAGAGTCAATTATTTCAAACATGCACCTTCCTCTCCACCCCAAGGCCACTTTAATATAAAGAACAGCCTTGTAGTGGGTTCGCTTGCCTTAGCATCTCCCCTGACCAGTTTAAACTATAGTTACTCTTCACTAGGTTCTTCATAGGGTTCTATCCCTATGGAATAAAGGCTAAACTCTATCACACAAAACAGAACGTCGCTCCAAGATCCGCTCTTTATTTACCTAACAAAGCCCAATTGTTTGGCCTTCCCAGACTGAACAAGGTCACTTACCTTCTGGCCTGGATACTTTTACTTTTGTAAAATTTAGCCACCTCAAAAATCACAAAGCCGGCTTGAGGTTTAGGCGCGGTAGTACACTAAATGACATATAATCGGGGCCACCGTCCCCGTCGCTCCTTCACAGTTCCTAACTACCTACCTTTTTAATTAAAGTAGCCTCTTTTTAATTCGGCAAAACGCATGTGGACAGGAATACAAACTAAAGGTGGAACGACTCGATCTTTCCTTCCCTGGGCTCACTGCGACAATTTCTCAATCACTGTCTTCACTCTCTAAGAATCTGAGACATTCTAGGAAGTTCAGGTCCGCAGCGCCCCAAGCCGCCCCTGAACCCCACAACGCCTCAGTTCAAACCCTCCAGACCGGAACGGAACAGCGACACACGTGGCGGCCGGAGGGGGCGGGGTCGGAAGGCGGAGGCCCGGCTCGGCTACTGCGCCTGCGCGCTGCCTCTGGTTCAAGGACCCGTATTTAAAGAGACAGGCGGTGTAGTCACCGTGCGAAGCCCGCGGCCTTGTGGGCTCCTAGTCGGGAGGCCCGCGTGGACCGTCGGAGCCTGGACAGCCGGGAAGGAAGGTGAGGGGCGGCGCGGCGGGGCGCGGGGCGCGGGGCGCGGTGTGGGGAGGGATAGGGCCGGGGCCGAGAGCGGCGTGGCTGGAGAGCCCGTGGCTCCTCCCCCGCCCGCCGCTCAGCCTGGGGGCACACCCTCCATGACGTGGCGGCCCCCCGGGAGCCCACGGGAGGCCCGCGGCCCCTGAGACCCCAGGCGGGCACCGGAGAGGGCAGGATGCCACCCGCGCCCGAGTGGGCGTCCCCAGGGGTTCGGGGTCCGGCCTTGGCCGGTCCCTCCCCGAGGCCGCGGCTCCCCGGCAGAGCCTGTAGGCAGAGCGGCGTGCTGGTCTTCGCGGCCCCGGGGGTTCCCGAGCCTCCCCGCACCGCTGGGCCCCAGTGGTTAATTGTCCTGTCCCGGGCCCATGGGATGGAGGCTGCACTCCATTCTCCATATTCTGCGGAAAGTTGAACTCCTACCCGCCCCTAGCTCCTCCTCGGCCCTGCCGTTCTTCAGTCGATTCTCTTAAACGTGGGGCTTGTGTGACCCACTGTGAGCCTCCCAGTTAACCGACCTCCTCTCCCCCGAGTGGTACATTGTCAATTACACAAGTTTGGTATACATTCTCCGGGAATTCAGAACTCCATCACCAGCCCGCCCTCGAATTCGTTGTAATTGTCCTACCCACCCCATGCGGTAGTTCTAATCCTGGGGGTTTTCATTTTGAGATGGATGGGCTTGCTATGTAGCCCTGGCTAGACTGAAATTTACTAAGTAAATCAGACTATCTGGCTTCGAACGTACACAGCAACCCTTCTGCCTTTGCCTTCTGAGTGATGAGATTACAGGCGAGAACCACCATAATTAGCTCTTAGTCTTGTTATAAAAATAAAACTGGGCCCGGGTGTGGTGGCACAATGCCTTTTACAATGCCACCCTACTTTACAGAGTGACTTACCGGACAGCCAGGGCTACATAAAAAGATCATGTCTCAAAAAACCAAAAATAAACATAAAATAAATGCAAACCAGGCGTGGTGATGCACACCATTAATCCCATCAGAGGGAGGTGGATCTCTGTGTGTTCGAGGCCAGCTGGTATGCAGTATGAGTTCCAGGAAAAGAAGGGCTGTTACACAGAGAAACCCTGTCTCAAAAAAGAAAAAGAAAGAAAAAGAAAATAAATTGAAGTTAGGCTTGGTGGCTCACACCTACAATCCCAGAACTGGAGGCAGGAGGATTGGCTGTTTAGGGTCAGCCTTGTTTACATAGCAAGTTGGAGGAGACTGAGCCACCTGGTATCTGTCCCCCAGCCCACGGGTGGGCTTGGCCTCCCATACTATTTCTTCCATAGTACACCTGCTGTGCTGTGCGCTGTGTAGCACTGCAAAGAGTCTTCGAAGAGGGCTTTCCGTTGACACAATAGCAATTTTGCTTCACAGCAGTGTGTAGACTAAAAATAGTTTCTAGTATATTGGAAATTAAAACTATAAAGCCACTTAGTAATTATAAATATAAGAAGGGGTAGGTATAATCACACTTTCCACTTGGATTGATTCATCCATCACTTCCTTTGACTCTCACAGTCCAGTTATTTCAACTTTCCCTGATTCAGGTTGCTGAATTTAGCAAGGGAATTGCTAACCCTGTTTCTAAGGATTTTACTCTTAGAACAACTACAGATGAAATAGGAGCAGACAGGTAAAGTAACTTGCTGAGGGTCACACAGCTGATAAATGGCTGAGCAAGGTTTTGAACCCAGGCAGTCAGTCTGATTATAGGCTCTGATGACTTGCTTCTCAAAGGAGGGCTTCTTCTGAAATCCCAAATCTGTTATAGTGGCTTAATTGTTTTCTAAAGGTGACTTGTGTGTTATATTTCACAGGGAAACTTCATAAATACGATCTAATTTTTCTTGGTTATTAAGACAGTGCTTCAGAATTTTGGTAATATTTAAAGGGCACCATCCATTATTAGTATCTCATGTTGTTGATGCTGCATGCCCCTTTGGAAACTGATGTTTCCTGTATTGGAACTCTATTTTAGCCTAGGTGAATGCATTGGGAAGTGCTTGATCAATCATGAGCTCTGTATGAGATTCTGGCCATTAAGAAATTGGAAGCTTGTCTTCTTCATGTCTTTGTGTTTGTTTTTCTACCCTTTCATGCAGCTATATGACTTTGGCTTTCAAGATCCTCTTCCCAAGAAATCTTTGTGCCCTTGGCAGAAAAGAACTGTGCCGGTTCCTAGAACAGAATCACTGGCCTGTCATAAGACACTTCAGCCAGGGGTTGGAAACAGATCTCCTTCGTGGGTGCTGCCTCCTCCAGAGAAGAAAGCCTGTCCTATCCTTCCGGGGAGGTCCTCTAAGACCGCGTGCCACCCACCTTGTTTTCTTGCCAGGGTCGCATGTGGGCCTCTGTACTGGCCCCTGTGAGATGGCGGAGCAGCGGTTCTGTGTGGACTATGCCAAGCGGGGTACAGCTGGCTGCAAGAAATGCAAGGAGAAGATTGTAAAGGGCGTTTGCCGCATTGGCAAAGTGGTGCCCAATCCCTTCTCAGAGTCTGGGGGCGAGATGAAGGAGTGGTACCATATTAAGTGCATGTTTGAGAAACTGGAGCGGGCACGGGCTACCACAAAAAAAATCGAAGACCTCACAGAGCTGGAAGGCTGGGAAGAGCTGGAAGATAGCGAAAAGGAGCAGATAAACCAGCACATTGCAGGTAGGGTGGAGAGCCTACTTGCCCAGCTTGCTGGTGTTAATAGAAGAGGGTGCAAGGAGACTAGTGTCTAGGAGATTTCTTTCTCTGTGTGTCTTGCTTGGACATAATTTCAAATTCACAGAATAGTTATAAGAATAAAATTAGTAACAAGAACACTCACATTCTCTTTACACAGATTTCCCTCTTGATACTAGTCAGTTTACTTATCATTTCTGTATATGTACTTGCTCTCTACATATCTGGCTTGTTTTTTATTGAGCCATTCAGAGAAAGTTATGTCATCAGGCCAGGGAGGTACTCCAGCATGTATCATAAAAAATAGGATCTTCTCCTACATGACCATAGTTTACCTGTCAACCTCAGTAAACTTTACCTTGATGTAATACTTTCTTATCTGTATACTGTTTTGTCAGTTGACTGAATGCTATAATTTAGTAGTACATTTTCTTGTATTGCAGGATTCAGGTGTAGAATCAGATTAGCTACTGCGTTTAATTGTCATGTCTCTTTGGCCTCCTTTACTCTGCAACATTTCCAGAGGGTCTTTTGGGGTTTTGTTTTTTGTTTTTAGATGTATTCTTGCCATGCCATATAGCTTGGGTTGGCCTCACACTTGGAGCAATCATCCTGCCTTGTCTCTACAGGACTAAGATTATAGGCTTGTGTCACCAAGTCTGGTACTCTATGGTCTTTCTTTTAGATGTTGATTTATTTTTTAAGAATAAAAGACTGGCTACCACTGTTTTAGCTGTCAGCTTGCTATCTTTATGAACTTGTAGATTACTACCTTTTGTCAGGGACTTAAGTTCATTATGGTACTTAATTGTCTCATATTTGTCCAGCTAGTAGTCCCATTAGGGTGGCTTCTATATCCTGTATACCCTAGTTTCTCTCTCTCTCTCTCTCTCTCTCTCTCTCTCTCTCTCTCTCTCTCTCTCTCTGTCAGCAGTCTTGCTGGTAGCCCTAGCTGACCTTAAACTCTCAGTTTTTTCTGCATCATCCTCTCTAGTCCCGAAGTTGCACATATCTGCCAACCACACCTGGCGCGTCCTTTTCCTTGAGTTTTAGCTAGGTGAGGTGGCACAAGCCTGCAGTCCTGGTTAAGGACTCAGGAGTGAGTTTAAGACCTCCTGGGCCACATTTTATAAGTGCTCATGTATTGGGCATAAGAGGATGCTCTTGACTTTCTTCTGTATGTCCTCTCCTAGCCATTCCTCTGAGGAGTCTGAATTCCCATTAATGGAAAATAGTTTCAGAAACCAAAATCTGGATGCTGTATGTCTCATCATCTTAGGGTATCTTTGCTTCTAAGTCCTTGGAACAGACAACTAGAAAGATACATGCATGCATATACACAGAATCACATATATTTATACATATAGCCACACGTACATGCTCACTCCTATATGCATATCTGAGGACTCTTGGAGTCTCTAAAGTAACAGATCTAAAGGCTGTGGCTCTAAAGATGGGCCTCTATTCCTATTCTCAGCCTTTGTTACTGTCTCATTCAGAGGAAGGGAAGTGCAGTCAACAGGAGTTTGCCTCCCTGTGCCAAATAGGCATGCCTGGTTTCTTTGCTATTCCAGAGTTAGGTCCAAGTTTTAGCTATCAAAATGTGATAACTGGGTCTGGAGAGAGGGCTCCGCATTTAAGAGCAAAGGTGGCTCTTCCAGAGGACCTGGGTTTAATTCCCAGCACCCACATGGCAGCTCATAACCATTTGTAACTCTAATCCCAAGGGATCCAGTGTGCTTTTCTGGCTTCCCTGGGTGCCAGGCACACACATGGTACACAGACATATGTGCAGGCAAAACACCCATTCATAGAAAAATAAAAATCTTTAAAAATAAATGATTATTGTTTTCCCCAAATCTGTACTTTAAGAAATTATTATACATTGGATAAGAGGTGGGGAATTTTGATGAAATATCGTTACCAGTAGAGGCAAATGATCACCAAAATACCCTTTTCTTCTCTCTATCCAATACCCTTGTACCTTCTCCCAACACTCAAAAAGACCAGCCAGCCTGGGGTCATAGTACAATAGAAACTTACCAACCAAGGATTTGGGAACTGTTGATAAAATCCCCAAAAGCTTCCTCGGTGGCCTTTCTCTGAAGGACATTTTTATTATTTGTGGGTCCCGTAGACCTGTCTTCTAAGGCAGCTGGCACACCAAAGAAGAAAACCGCTGTCCAGGCTAAGCTGACAACCACTGGCCAGGTGACATCCCCAGTGAAAGGTGCTTCGTTTGTCACCAGTACCAATCCTCGGAAGTTTTCTGGATTTTCAGGTAAGATGGGTTAAGGCTACTTTCCCTGTTCAGACCCTCCTTTGTTAGGCTTCTGTCTGGGCAGTCCAGCCGGAGCTAACTCAGTGCTCCACTGGCATAGCCTTTCTTGGTGTACTTTAATCTCTGTTGTCGCAAGGAACGTGTTGGTTTTGTCAAAACTTCTTCCACTTGAAGTTATTACCTGGGTCAGAAAGATTTTTCTAACCAGCTCTTTGCTTCTGGGTGTTTTGTTGATTGATTGCTTGGGTTAGGTTGGTTTGGTTTGGTTTTTAAGACAGGATTTCTTTGTGCAGCCCTGGCTGTACTGGATCTCACTCTGTAGACCAGGCTGGCCTCGAACTCACAGAGATCCACCTGACTCTGCTTCCCGAGTGCTGGGATTAAAGGTGTGAACCACCACCGCTTGGCTATTTCTTTTAATGACAGAATTCTGAGAAGTTGTTCCCCAAACTTGCCTGAACTAGAGATGGAAGTGTCATTGCATAGAACATTTTCCCTTGATTTTCCTTGATAGTCATTGCCTATATATTCATATGGTAGAGATGAATGAGGAGCCAGAAGGGAAAATCTGAACAACAGGTACCTTATTCTGTTAGGAGACAGTAGAGCCCAATGATAAAGCAGGTGCACTTGGGAATTAACAGGCTCTGGGTTCAGATTCCATCTCCTATCTCTTGTTTATGTCTCAGCAAGATAAAGAGTAATTTGTAAACATGCACACAACTACTGTTCATGGACATGGAATCTGTACAACTTTGCTAGAACCTATGCTGCTGATGGGGATTGAGAGGGCCGTTTATTGGCGATAGGTAAGAGAAAGCATTGGCCTACGGACTTTTGTTCTTCTCTTAACCTGAAGAAGTGCTTTTCTGTTATGCTCATTATGCTCACTTTATGAATGAATTGAAGTTCAGGCTCACAGTGGAGCTATTATTACACTGATGTCTGTTTGTCCCAGTAGTGTGTTATTTTTCCTATATTCTGTATATTTCCTGTATTCTGTTTTATTGTTTGAGATAAACAATTCTTATGACTGGCTCAGTTGAAGGAAATAATAAAATAAAACCCTTTGGACTTGAGTAGTTTGGAGGTTCAAAGAAGCCTAGATGTGAAGTTAGGAGAATTGAGGTTAGGCCCATGCTTGACAGCTCGGTGCTTTGAGCAAGTCTTCACCTGTTTGAGTCTCTGTGGCTTTGTCTGTGAATTAAGACGTTAGTCCTGTCATGAGGACTGTGGAATATGTTACAGAAATTATGCCTGGATCTGTAGGAGCTTTGCATGCACACACAGTTAATTTGTTCCGTTTAAGAGAAAGAGTCTTGGGCTGGAGAGATGGCTCACCTGTTAAAGGCTGGACTCAAAACCCAGAAATATAAGAGAAAGGGTCTTCTGTCCAGCCTGTCCTGAAATTAAGATCCTCCTGCTTCAGCCTTCTGGGTGCTAGAAATACAGGCATGTGCTGGTCTTTGGCAGTTTTTATTATGTGAAAATTCAGGTTGGTTTGTTGTTGGTAGAAGGCCAACGATAGGGCTGTAGAAGAGTCCCGGTGACAGTAAAGATAACATGATTCTAAAAAGATTCTGGTCTTGTGCATGGAATTTAGAAGAGTTGGAAGGAATAGGGTGCTCTCCTTCTTGAACCTAGCTAAATACTATGCTTTGGAAAGATCCCTGCCCCACAACAGATTTAGATTCCAGGTCAGAGGTGACAACGGATTTACAATGTACAAAACCCAAACAAGAAGCCTTGTTAACAGCTCCTAGCTCAAACAACTGATGCCTTGGTCTTGTAAAGGGCCACAAAGAGGTGAGAAAGAATCACCAAGGATTCTCTCTCTGAAAATAAAACTGCCTTTTATTTTGACAATAAGAAAAGACAAACTGGAGTGCACTGGTGGGTTCTGACTTTCTTGCTGGCATCCCTGTCTTGGCTCTTTTACCAAGAAGGTAGGTGGTCTTGAGAGCTGTCTGCTCTTGGGCCTTGGTCTGTCTCATCATAAGAGGACAGTGAACTCTGTAATCCATCGGGTTTGCAACAGCCCTGACAACCCACAATGGCAATAATTTCAACATGTCCTTTGGTTTCTTCTCCCTTTCTCATCCCAGCCTTTCTGGAGTCAGAATTATAATTGTTCTGAGATCCACTCGATGGCTTGTGGCATGAAAGCAGCCTTTGTTCCTGTGTGAGATGCTCACATAAACCGATGCTTCTCAGTCCAGTCTTCAAGCAGTGGTATTTGGGCCAATTACTTGCCCTCCATATCTGTACTTGTGACATGGGTCTAGTACGTCTACCTCCAGTGACTCGTTGGGGGGATTAAATAAAACTACATATAAAACCCCAGCAAAATTTTCATTTTCTTCCTTCCTCTTGGTGCTTCCCAGAAAAGGAAAAAAGTGAATCATGTGTATTGTTTCTCTCTCTAGCAGCCAAACCCAACAACTCTGAGCAAACCCCCTCAAGCCCTGCCCCTAAGACAAGTCTGTCTGCACGTAAATGTGACCCTCAGCACAAAGATTGTCTACTTCGAGAGTTCCGGAAGCTGTGTGCCATGGTAGCTGAAAATCCTAGCTACAATACAAAGACCCAGATCATCCAAGACTTCTTGCAGAAAGGCTCTGCAGGAGGTAAGGCTGTGAGCATCCGAGTATGTTTTCCCTCTGAAAAGCTCAGAGCCATGACCAGCTTTATGGGCATACAAGCTCAGAGCCATGACCAGCTTTATGGGCATACACATCGGTGTCTTAATTCTTGATAATCTTGAAATGGGATCCTATAGTTGTAATTGTCACCAGACCTTGCATATTATATAGCCAATTCTGTGCAGGGTGCTTGGCCATTTTCCTCCTCAGCTCTTAGTTTGTCCTCAGGAGGCAGAAGAACCTATTTGGCCAGTAGAGAAGTCCACTTGCATATGTGATTAGGTGAACCACATGCTGAGTGTAGAGTAGAATCTCCTGGCTGTCTCTTTCATAGATCCAGAAAATTGTCACTTGGTATCTGTTGTATCATCACAGACTGAAAGTCAGGGCTTCGCCCAGTGGGAGATCATAAGGTAAAAAGGTGAGGCGGACCAAAACCATAGCCACTGACCACCACTACTGTAGTAATACATGCTAGGAGCTATGGGAAGCAACCCTGCCTTTTCTTTTTTCTGTGTGTGTGTGTGTGTGTGTGTGTGTGTGTGTGTGTGTGTGTGTGTGTGTTTAATTTAGGTAGGGCTTCACTGTGTATCCTTGGCTGTCCAGGAATTTACTATGTAGACCAGGCTGGCCTTGAACTCACAGAGATCTGCAGGCTTCAGCCTCCTGAGTGTTGGGATTAAACACCACACATCTGGCAGCTCCATTTCTGAATGGAATTTTCCCTCCTTTTGTTTTCAGATGGCTTCCGCGGTGATGTGTACCTAACAGTGAAGCTACTGCTGCCGGGGGTCATTAAGAGTGTTTACAACTTGAATGATAAGCAGATTGTGAAACTTTTTAGCCGCATTTTTAACTGCAACCCAGATGAGATGGCTCGGGACCTAGAACAGGTCAGAGGCCGGTATAGGGAGGCCACACCCCAGGTGGGACTCTGCCGGGATAGCTTTCCCACAGCCAGCTTTAAAAATAACTGAGCACATACTGGTGTAGGGAACTGAAACTTATTGAACAAGATTCTGTTAGACTAGGGAAGCTGAGTGTGAGGACACAGCTGTTCCTTTCTTAAGTTTAATAACTGAAAAACGTACCACTGTCAAGCCACAAAAGGCCTTATCTGAAAAGTCAGGACTTAAGACTTCCTTTTGTATCTCCTGGGGCTGTTCTGGGCTTTATTTGCTTGCTTGCTTTCCCTCTTTCTGTGGACTTCCCATTCATTTTTGGCTTGTTTGTGACTCCAGCCTTGGTGCCATGGAAAGTTTCTATCCAAACGTCTACTATTAGAAGGACTGTGCCTTAGTTCAGATTCTTTTTTTTTTTTTTAAACTCCACACGCTTTATTCTCCAGCCCCGCACCGCACCATGTGGATCCACTCACATCAACCCCAGATTCCACCTCGCTGGGAGGAGCGCTCGCCCTTAGTTCAGATTCTTAAACAGGAATCAAATTGGCTTAGTGCTATGTCTCTACTCAGCTAAAGCAAGTGGGTAGCCTCGTATGGATAGATAGACCCCTTCTAGGAACTGGCGGGGAGAGAGTTCCTGAGAACTACTTTGGGACAGGAGCTGTGGTTGAACTCTTGATTAGTCCCGAGCTCCCTGGGGTTGCAGCAGTGGCATTTTGGTTTTTGGAGACAGGGTGACGTGTCAGAGACGATCAGAGTCTTCTTTGAGCAGAGCAAGTCTTTCCCCCCAGCTGCCAAGAGTCTCCTCACCATCCAGGAAGTGGATGCATTTCTCCTGCACCTCTCCAAGCTCACCAAAGAGGATGAGCAGCAGCAGGCCCTGCAGGACATTGCCTCCAGGTGGGGGAGCTGCCCTGTTCAGACCCAATGCGGATAGACTACTCTGGGAAGGAAGGTTTGGGGATCAGAGTTCTTCAGAGATCAAGCTGAATATGCCTCTTCTTTTTAGGTGTACAGCCAATGACCTTAAGTGCATTATCCGGCTGATCAAACATGATCTGAAGATGAACTCGGGTGCAAAACATGTGTAAGTACCATAGCTCCTCTGACAGCCTGAACTGCCAACTTCCTCATTCCTCACTGCTCTCAGGACGTGGGAGACCTGCTACAGATTTGAACCCTAATTGTTATTTCCTGTGGGACCCTAACTCACCTCAACACCCATTTTCTCACATGTAAAGTAGAGATAGCTATCTTTAACACAAAGCTTCTACAACTGAAAGCCTGGAACAGGCTTCTTGCCCATTCCAGCTCCATTCTCTGCCAAGGCTGTACCAAGTAAGGCACAGGGTCTCAGAACCCTGAATGTTCTGTCTTTTCCTGTGCCAGCTTTGATTTCCAACCTTTTGACTTCTTAACATCTACAAAATTCATGCTCAAGAATTGTTTATTCAAGTTATAGAAAAGGAAATTAGAAAAAAACCTTAGTGTTTTAAATAAATTTGACCATTTTGTGTTGGAGCACATTCATAATTCTGTTTGGTTCCATGTGACTACTGCCGTAGGTTAGAAACATCTTCAAGTTAAAGGATGGAACAAGGCTACTTCCCCAGCATCTCTCCTGTCTGACAGACTGCTACCCTAAGCCATAATGTCAGATGTAGAGGTTTGTTTCCTTGCTCCTGTCGCCCTTGGCAGGCTAGATGCCCTTGACCCCAATGCTTATGAAGCCTTCAAAGCCTCACGCAACCTGCAGGATGTGGTGGAGCGGGTCCTTCACAATGAGCAGGAGGTGGAGAAGGACCCAGGCCGGCGACGGGCTCTGAGCGTCCAGGCCTCACTGATGACTCCTGTGCAGCCCATGCTGGTAAGGAACACTGCCTTGTCCCTATAATCCATGTCTCCAAGTTGCTGGCATCTGAAAGGGGATGAAAGGCAAGGGCTCTTTCTTGTAGGTTGCCTAGAGAAGTGTGGGAAGGAAGAGTGGAGATGAGCAGAGCTGGGCTAGGCTGGGAAGTAAAGGTGCAGAAGATAACAGTGATCTAGTACAACCTCAGCCTAGTGCCCAGCACTGCCACCAGCAAGCCTGGGACAGGGCACCCGGCTTCCTTTGTGCTTTACTTTCCCTGTGGGAGTGGCATGTGAGACCAAGTAATTTAGCATCACACTTGAAGACAGGACTATGCTCAGTAGCCCCCATAGCTGTGACCTCCTGCAGGATAGCTCAGAGCTGGCAATAGAGCCAGGCCTCTCGTGACAGAAGCTCAAGGAATAAAGCCTCACTCCAGTACATAACTTGGATTTCTGCACCTTTAGTGAGGTTGGCTGTCCCTTCTGGGTTTTATGTGCAGCGAGTTAGTATCTGCTGCTCTGCCACTTGCTGTGAGTCCCCTTGGGCTGTCCAGGGGTATGTGGGGAAGAATTGCTTTCTTTTTTTCTTCTTTGAAACTGCCTTGTAATACTAAATCCTTGTGTGAGGCTTTTATGTTTGGGATAGGGAACAATTCTCTTACTACCAGAAATACAGGATAGCCAGTGCCAGAATAGTGTAGTCTCCATGCCAGGGACAGAACCACCTCCCTCATCTGAAGAAGGGTCTTCTCTACCTTCTATGGAAGTGCTTCCTAGAGACCTTGCCATAGCCTTGTCTGAAGAGTGGTGTGGATTGCATGCTTAGTGCTTTAGCACACAGGCTTGGGAGGAGGGCATATGCACATCTGAGTCTGACTGTTTACTGGCTGCCTGACCTTATGTGAGTGCATAACCTCCCAGACTTCCTGTTCTCTCCTGCAGCATTTGTCATGTAAGGTGTCATCAAAGATGAAATGACAAGAACCCCCAAAATGGTAGTTATTGTGTGGGTCTGGCTGGTGCCAGTATGTGAGTGAGTGTGTCTGGCTGGATGTCCTGTCCTGTCAGTCTCAGATTGCAGTCACCCTGCTAGCCTCACTGTCACCATCACTTACACTGTGATAGCAAGTATGTTTAATAAGCCAGGTACCTTGTAAGAGCCTAATTACTGAGAAAAAAATCTTACTTCAGAAGAATTGTATTTATTCTAGATTGGATAGCATTTATCTTTTTCAGAATGCTGACTGTTAAGCCAGCTCTGGTGATGGATGAGCTATTTTTCATTTGAGGCAATCTGGCTGTCTAGGCCATGATATCAACTGATGATTTTATAATCAGAATATAGCATTGCCCGGCCTTTTGCAATCACCCCTTCAGCAGCAGTCTGTCCTGAGGCAGTTCCAGAACCCAGTTCAGTCCTGACAACCCCAGCCCCAGGCTCTGCTAAGGAGCCCCGGTTGAAGGGATCCAGCATTTGCTTTCTCCATCCTAAGGCTGAGGCCTGCAAGTCCATCGAGTATGCAATGAAGAAGTGTCCCAATGGCATGTTCTCTGAGATCAAGTACGACGGTGAGCGAGTCCAGGTGCATAAGAAGGGGGACCACTTCAGCTACTTCAGCCGCAGTCTCAAGCCTGTCCTGCCTCACAAGGTAACAGCCTGCAGCCAGGACTTTCTCCTTGCCTCTAAGAACCACTGGGCCAGAATTGCGGGGTCTTTCCAGCTGTGCTTTATAGAAGGGAATTTGTTTCTATCTGTAAATGAATGGAGGGAATTCATTCCTGGACCCTTCCAGTAATGAAAGGCTGCTCAGCTGGGACAGCCCAGAGCCCAGACTTGGGTTAGTCAGGCAGGAAAGAGCTCCCTGGATGATGCAGCAACATAGACAGCGAGCTCAGGGCAGGTCTGGTGTCTGTGTCTCCTGTGCTCCTGCTGGGCTGGATTAAGGTTCATGCACAAGGAACTGCTGTGCTGTTGTTGTTCATTAGCTTGCTCAGCAAGTATTTCTCAAATGCTAGGCACTGTTGGAGCTAGTGGACATATAAAAGTACGAACAATAGGTGAAAGTTCTGACCCTCATGGAGCCTGTAGTTTAAGTGCACAATATTGTGGGGCTGTCTGGGATCCCTGATTCCTGCCCTAATCAGAATTGATGGAAATTGAGAACCTCATTCCTCAGCCCTTCTCAGCTCCCAGGGCCAGTCTTTTGAGGTCTATGGGAGAGAAGCAGCTGGGTTATATGGCCCTAGTAGCTTGTGAATAAATGGAATTCCTAGCTTTGCTTCCCCTTTCTTTCTCAGTTCTGACTTGGTTTCTCAGAGTCTGTGCCTTGGTGAATGTGTTGTATGGTCCAGTAGAGACATGGTAGCTAGGCCACTTGTTTTATGGGTTCAGCAAGAGAGCTGGGCAGTAGTGTTTCATGGAGCTGTAAGTGAGGAGGTTCATTTGTTCCAGGGGCACTGAAACTGATCAGGGACTGCTGTGATAAGGATGGTGTTAGACAGAGCCTGTTGTGACTGGGACATTTGAATACAGCTTTCTTGAATATGTTTTCTTTACCTTTCTAAATATTGCAGATTGAACCTAGGCTTACACAAGCTAGGCAAGGGCTGCACACTAAGCTATGTCCTCACCTCACGGTCCTTTAGTTCTAGAAGGGCTGGGTTGGGGATAGAAGGGAATAAGGATAGATGATCAGGTCTTTCCTCATTCCACTCCATATCCTAGGCAGTGACTGCCCATGTGCTGCTCTCAGCTGAGGAGTTAGACCATTGTCAGGTTCTTTGGTATCCTTTGTCAAGGAATACCTGGAGTTGCAGTGGGATCTATCCCTGTGAGCAGTCAGAAATTAGGGTTCTGCTTCTGTTAGGAAACATCCAGTCCCAGGGCTCGTACTCTGAAGACAAGGGGCTTCAGAGCTCCCATTTAGAGAAGACTCTGTTCTCATTCCTCACTGAGGGCTTTGTTTCCCCCATTCCTGTCCTCCGCCCGATAATACCAATCTTCTGTAATGGACACTAGTCTCGACCTGCCCCTTGTTCCTCTTTCCTTTCCTCCCATATTTGTCTACCTCCATGTCCTCCCAACATACTGTTTCTTCCTTTTTCCTCCAAACCGTCTGTACAGCCCATAGAACGTGACGCAGAGTAGGCTGACCATTTGCTGGGTCTAGACAGAGGTGATAAACAGATAGCCTGCTCCCCTCTCAGGGAGGACTGACACAGCCTAGCTGTGCATTTCACCCATTGACTGGGCTTCCATATGCTCTCTGCCTATTTGGCCAGGGCTTTGATCACTATGGCTTGGTTTTAGGTCCTAACTGCCAACTCATCCTTGCCAAAGCTACCTTTCTCCTTCCAGGTGGCCCACTTTAAGGACTACATCCCTAGAGCTTTTCCTGGCGGTCAGAGCATGATCTTGGACTCCGAGGTGCTCCTGATTGACAACAACACAGGCAAACCACTGCCCTTTGGGACTCTGGGAGTGCACAAGGTACACAGTCAGAGTCCTGTGTGCAAAAATGTGATGTTAATCTAAAAAGGGGGTGAAGGGAGGATAAGTCACTTAGGACAGGGCCTGTTCCTTTGTTTGTTCTTCTATAAAAAGGAGTTGCTTCTTAGGAACCAACTTAGAATTGAGTTGGTTTCAGTTCAGCATGTTTTTCCATCACTATAACAAAATACCAGAGGTATCTATTCCATAAAGGAAAATAGTTCTAGAGGTTATGGTCAGGGAATACAGGGGCCCATACCCTTAGATCAGTACTAATACAGGACATCATGGCAAGAACATGTGGCCAATCAAAATCATTTACATCATGAACTGAAGAGCAGAGAGAGGGAAAGCCCCACAATCCCTTTAAGAGTACGCCACTAATGACTTAAGACCTTCCCTACTTCACCACCCTGGGGGCCCAGCCTTTAACACTTGGGCCTTTGGGAAATGTTGGTGTTCTGAAGTTTAGTGAGCACCATCTATGAAGTGTTCTATGGCCCGGGGCCTGCAGAGCACCAACAGGACTGTCCACTGGGGGCTGCGGAAGTGGACTGCTACTTCCCTGTTTCCATGCCCACATGTACCTACTGCCTCATTTCCCCTACAGAAAGCTGCCTTCCAGGATGCTAATGTCTGCCTGTTTGTTTTTGATTGTATCTACTTTAATGATGTCAGCTTGATGGACAGGTAAGTTAGTGTTTTGATATGTTTTCTTTTGTTTTTGTTTTGTATGTGTATGTTTTTCATGTTTTGCAGTACTAGGGATGAAATCCAGGGCCTTACATGTATTAAGCATATGCTCTACATTAGATTTTACTCCCAGGCTACCATCTTTAAACTCAGAATCTATCTGCACTGGAGATTTATCTGGGTTGGGCCTATAGAGGCTTCAGTTAGGAAAGAGATAAGCTAACATTTGTGCATCTATCGGCTTATAGCGGATGCCATGGGTGAAGTATCCAAGGAGAACTGGCAGTCTGGTGTGAGCTACATCCATAGGCTTAGACCTACACAGCTGATACTTTTCCTTTACGCACTTAGGATGTCTCCTTACTCTTGTTTCTATAGCTGCTGCATCCATGATTAAGAAAGAAAATGTGCAGGCCATGTTGGCTTATGTGCTTTGGTAAAAAGAAAAAAGTAAAAAAAAAAAAAAAAAAAAAAGAAAGAAAGAAAATGGAAAGAATTGATGGGGAAAGGTCTTGAAGCCTGTACCAGCCTTGTGTTATGCCCCACACCTATCAGGCACGGTGTGGAGCATAACCTGTGTCAGGCTGTCCACTCAGAGGCTAGCCACCCTGGGGGTTAGGGTAAGACAGAGTGGGGCATTGGCACAAGAGTTGTAACATTATTCAGGTGGGACCAGAATTTGTAGTCTGGACTGGAGACTGGTGTTCTCTTGGCTCAACAGAGGAGAAAGCACAGCTATGAACTGGCTGTGAGTCATAGCTCCCAGTAGTCCATCTCCAGGGTTGATGAATCCTTGCAACCCCTGACAACAGAGCTGTTCAAATGGGAGCTTGGATCCATAGCTGTCCCTCTCCTGAAGCATCAGTTTTATCATTGGGCACTGACTGTCCTGTGTTAGAATTCCTGCTAGGGGTGGGAGGGAGGCCCTTTCCCTCAGCTCGGCTGTTTCCCTTAGGCCTCTTTGTGAACGACGGAAGTTTCTTCATGACAACATGGTTGAAATCCATAACCGGATCATGTTCTCAGAAATGAAGCAAGTCACAGTAAGTGAAGTTCCAATCCTAGGCGGGGATCTGATTGTTTTTAAACGGCAGAGAACCCCATGGGGTGTGAGAGGATGAGGCTTGGGTATTCTTTTGTGGGGTCCATCTATTGCCTAATTGTCTTCACTCTGAAGGGCATCAAAGTCTTTTCCTAGGTAAGCAGCCTCCATCTCGAAGTCACAGCAGCTCTTTAGGACCTTTTCCTTACATCTAAGTATGTTCCTACCTAAGTGTATAGAAGTGAACACCATCCATTCTCACATTGTCTGCATGTCTCTCTTACTGTTCCTCAGAAAGCCTCAGACCTGGCTGACATGATAAACCGAGTGATCCGAGAGGGCTTAGAAGGGCTGGTGCTGAAGGATGTGAAGGTAAGATGGCTACACCCTTGTCTTCTCCTGCTGGGGCTGACAGAGGCACTGGAGGTGGGAAAGAGTTAAAGCTACAAGGGAGTCTTTCCTCCTTAACTGGGGCAGGCCAGTCCTGGATCTGAAAACGGCTTTGTGTGTCCTGTAGTGCCTGGATACAGAGATCTGGCTGGGCCACAGTGGTGAAAAGACAGACCCTACCCTCATGGAGTTTCCATTCTCTGTGATCTATTTATTGTGTCCCCTCAGGGTACATACGAGCCTGGGAAGAGGCACTGGCTGAAAGTTAAGAAAGATTATTTGAACGAGGGGGCCATGGCTGATACAGCTGATCTGGTGGTTCTTGGGGCCTTCTATGGGCAAGGGAGCAAAGGTCAGTGGTGTCTGGTCCCTGTGGTGGTACTCTATCAGAAGACACACACTGGCCTCCTTGCTAGCTTGATCTGCTGGTCATGGATTGCTTGGTCCTGGGATCTGGGGCCCTGGTCACATCAGGCAGGGACATCTGGGATCTACAGGCTGACACACAAGAGGTCCGGTAAGAAGAGCTGATGCCTCCCCCTAGTCCTTTCAACCTAAATTGATCACTAGCACCCACATGGTGAAAGCAGAGAACTGACTCCCACAGGTTGTCCTTGACCTCCACACACACACTACACTGAGCATGTTTGAATATTGGCGTATGATTGGCTACACACAAGTAGACACTCACAAAAAAATACAAAAATGTTTTTAAAAGGAAAAATAATAAAAAGAAGTTGGTCAGGAATACCTTCTGCTGTCCTGATGCAAGGAAGCTCAACACCAGCTGTTTCAAGGCCTGACAGCTTCCTCCTCAGAAAACTCAGTCCTGATTGGGGAGAAGGATGAGGTCTGAGGAACAAACACTTCAGGCAGTATATCAGTTGTGTCTGCTGTGTGTTAGGCACTGTCCACTTCCTCAGAGCCCAGGAAATTACTGAGTGTGATCACTCTAATACCTTTTTTTTTTTTTCTTTATTTTTTGGAGATAGAGTTTCTTTGTGTAGTTTTGGAGCCTGTCCTGGAACTCACTCTATATACCAGGCTGGCCTCGAACTCACAGAGATCTGCCTGCCTCTGCCTCCTGAGTACTGAGATTAAAGGTGTGCGCCACCACTGTCCGGCTACTCTAACACTCTTGATGCTAAGGCCCTTCTCCAACCAGCCTATCATGGGCCTTGCCCATTCTAGCCCACTCAATTCATGTTCCCCTCTCAGGTGGCATGATGTCCATCTTCCTCATGGGCTGCTATGACCCTGACAGCCAGAAGTGGTGCACTGTCACCAAATGTGCCGGAGGCCATGATGATGCCACACTTGCCCGACTGCAGAAGGAGCTAGATATGGTGAAGATCAGCAAGGTGAGGAAGGCTTCGGGTTGACCCTGGCTCTGGCAGTCCTCACTCCCAAGACACAGGCTGTGTTTTGGGGACTGAGGTCTTCAGGTCACATTTTTAATTTAGTAAGGAGCTTGCTTCTTGGCCATAGAAGCAGGATTAGGCTTTAAAATCTCAGAGATCCTACCTTGTGGATGATGGCCTGTGTCCTGTGGGCCACAGCCTCTCTAGAGAGGATCATTTGGGGTGAAGGGTCATCCTTTTTAGCTAAGCCATATTTTACAGTGTCTTTTCTCCGTCAGGATCCCAGCAAGATACCCAGTTGGCTGAAGATCAACAAAATCTACTATCCTGACTTTATTGTCCCAGACCCAAAGGTATCAACTTGATAATTTGAGGCCCCCACCCCGGAAGTAGTACGCAGTTCTCCAGTGCCACAGAAAGTTAGCCCAGGATGGGACTTGGATATTCAGCCATCACTGAGGACTTTCTTAGTAGAGGGGAAGCAAATTCCCATCCACTTGTCCAAGGGCCTGTTGTAGAAGGACCTAGCCAGGTCCTTCTTAAGCAGACAGGTTTCCAGAGGAGGCAGAACCGGCAGACATGCCTCCTGGGTGCCAGCGAGAACCTCTGTGCTTTGACCTGGTTGACGCTGTTTCTGGCTGCTGAAGACTTCCATCTTGGCTATAAATAATCTACCTGTTTTATTCCTGACAGAAAGCTGCTGTGTGGGAGATCACAGGGGCAGAATTCTCCAAAGCTGAGGCTCACACTGCTGATGGGATCTCCATCCGATTTCCTCGCTGCACCCGAATCCGGGACGACAAGGACTGGAAATCTGCCACTAACCTCCCCCAACTCAAGGTGCCATCTCCTTGGCTTTCTAAATGCCCTCCACCCCACTGTCTTGCTCCTATTGGGCATCTGGCCTATTCACATGTCATGTGGCTTCTTATCTCTGTGACAAAACAAGGAGAGCAGTTAGAGTTGAAACTTGGTCCCAGCTCACCCTCCTCAGGTCTCCTGAAAGGCCTTCTAGCTTCCCACAGCCTGTTTAGGAGTTGCCCCAGGCTACAGTCCTGCTTGACTAATTAAGAGCTGAGGTTCAGGGGCTGGAGAGAGGGCACAAGGGGGTTAAGAGCACTGGCTGCTTTCAGAGGATCCAGCTTTGATTCGCAGCATCCACACTGCAACTTACAACTGTCTGTCTGCGCTCTGCAGGCACCAGACATTTACCTGGTGCATAGACACAGACACACACTCACGCAAACACCCATACTTTTTTTTTTTTTTTTTTTTTTTTTTTAAGAAAAAGAACTGGGATTTAGGCAGAATGTAGTATTGCACACCTTTAAAATTCCAGCACTCAGGAGGCAGAGACAAAGTTTCCCTGAGTTCAAGGTCAGCCTGATCTATATGGTGAATTCCTGGCTAGGCAGAGCTACACAGTGAGGCCCTGTCTCAAAAACAAAACAAGGGGTTGGGGATTTAGCTCAGTGGTAGAGCGCTCGCCTAGCAAGCTCAAGGCCCTGGGTTCGGTCCTCAGCTCTGAAATAAATAAATAAATAAATAAATAAATAAATAAATAAATAAAACCAAACCAAACTCTGGTTCATCTGAGCCTGTAATCTTAGCACTGGAGAGGCTAAGACAGGAAGACCTTAAGTTTAAAGCCAGTCCAAAAAAATAAGATAAAATAATTTGGGGGCCACGGAAGGTTACTTGTACCACAGTTACTCAGGTTCCAGGGTCCTACTTTGTTCCCTAGCTGCATGTGCCAGGTACCACTCATCCCAGACGCAGATCAGGTCAGGTCAGGTCAGGTCAGGGATGACAGCACCTAACGTCCCACCACTTCTTAGGAACTGTACCAGCTGTCCAAAGAAAAGGCAGACTTCACTGTAGTGGCTGGAGATGAGGGGAGTTCCACTACTGGAGGTAGCAATGGTGAGAACGAGGGCACTGCTGGATCTGCTGTACCCCACAAGGCCCCCAAGGCACCTCCCAGTAAGTCCTCGGCCAGTGGCAAGAAGACCGAACAGAAGCTGAATAACCCCACTAGCAGAGGTGGTAAGTAAGAGGGCCTGAGGTGATGGAGAGGGGTGTGGATAGGAAGAGATGGTAGCACACAGGCATACATTTCGATTCTGCCATCTTATGATTAGGTATCCACTACAACAGACATTCAGTGCATTCCTGGCATGTGACTAGCCATGGGCCAGAAACTCTTTTACCAGGCAGCCACCTCTTACCTGTTCAGCAAACCTGAGTGACAGAGTACCCAGGGAGAGCCAGGCTGGCTGGGGAATGAGCCACCTTGGAGCTAAAGGGTCTAGCTGATAGCCTTCTCCCCCTTTCTTTCATGGTCATAGCAGAAGTGCCTGACCCATCTCTTGGCTCCCCCTGACTTCCAGGACCATCAAAAGTTCCCTTGCCCGCTTCCTTGTTCTTGGTTTAGTATTAGTTTTGATGATTTTTGTATGGCCAGGTTTCTACACCAGGCTGGCCTTTAACTCACTATGTAGCCCATAATGACCCTGAACTTCTGAGCCTTCTGCCTCTACCTCATTAGTGCTGGAATTATAGGCATGTCCTAGTTTGTGCAATGCTAGGGATCGGACCAAGTGCCACATACATGCTCAGCAAGTACTTATTAATTTTATACTCTAACCTCTGCTGTTCTGCAGGCAACAGGGTGATTCCAAAGGCTTCCCCCATGAAATCTGAAGACAAGCCGCCCATAAAGTCTTCTCCAGTGAAAGTGGGGGTAAAGAGGAAAGCTCCTGATGAGACCCAATGCCCAACAAAGGTGAGGATAAGAATGGTGCATGAGACAGGCCAGTTTGGCTCAGGGTCTGGAATTCTGAGTTCCCATGCCATGTGTGAAGTTGAAAAGATGTCTGTATTGGTCTGGGGGAAGGCTACTGGAGCCCTTCCTTTCCTGTTCTGGGCAGATGAGCAGTTCTGCTGCTCCACCCTGTGCCCTCTTGTTGCCTTGCAGAGGCGGCAGCGGCGGGCCAGCCAGCAAAGAGGAAGGAGAGCAGTGTCAACAGGCAGGAGACAGAGCTGGCCTAGCAGGAGAGGCGGCAGGGGCCCAACCAGCTGCCAGGGTCGTTACAGTTCACATTAAAAAACGAAGCCCAGTCTGGGTGTGGGGTGCAGCAGTGTGTTTGTGTCTCTCGGAGCAGGTCCACCCAGCAAGGAGAGGGAGACTGCCATGACATAGACAACTCCCAGTTAAGGAGCCTATTATTTTCCCTTTTGTTAGTCCCTGGTCTGGCAACATGTTAGTCTGTGGTACCCTGGGTGGCTTCTGGCCCACAGTAAATGAAGAAACATCAACAGAGAGCTTGCACCCCTGCCCAAGCATAAGTACAGAAGTTGAAATCTCAGGGCCTGAAGCCACTTCTCAGTAGAAACCATTCCCATCTCTCTTCCCTCCCTGAAGCCCTTGAACTCATTCACACTGATGAGCAAGACTCCTAGGCTCTATCTAGGTAACTGCAGAGCAAACTAATCTTTGGGAGCTATTTTGCATTGGGTGGCTCTTGGAAACTCCCCTTTTCCATATCCTGGCCTCAAATGTTAGAGCCCATCACTTTTCCCTTTTCTCCTAGTCAGGGACAGGAGGGATTGTCAGACCTGGGTCAGCCAGAGTGGCTAGAGGATGGGTTAGCAATACCTCTGCCTTTTTTTCAGTAAACCATCTGTGTCCTAGATCCTAGACGACTCTGTGCATCCCTGGCTGTCCTGTATTCTGGTGGGGAAGTCCCACCTGCACCCAGGATAGGGCTCACTCTGCATGGACCACTCTGTTTGCAGGTGCTGTTGGATGTCTTCACTGGGGTGCGGCTCTACTTGCCACCTTCCACACCAGACTTCAAACGGCTCAAACGCTACTTTGTGGCATTCGACGGGGACCTGGTACAGGAATATGACATGGCCTCAGCCACACATGTGCTGGGTAACAGGGACAACAACACTGAGGCCCAGCTGGTCTCTCCAGAGTGGATTTGGGCATGTATCCGGAAACGGAGGCTGATAACTCCCTGCTAGGACTTTGGTCTTTCTCTTTGGGCCGTCCTTACCTGCCCACTCTACTGCATGAGGCTCTGACTGGATGGTAGGGGCCTCTTGCTAAGCAGTGTACCTTTTATACCCTCCAACTCTTCATGGTCCTTCTGGATCAGGAGTTAGTTGCTGTGGCACAAGCAATTTTCTTGCTAGTTTAACTAGATCTTGCAGATCTGGGTGCTAGCTTTGCCTTCTTGTTTAAAAAGAAGCCAATCTTAGTTGTTTGAGGTGCTGATAACCAACCTAGACCCTTACGCATGCTAGGCACAGTGTCCTGCCATTGAACTACAAATTTTATAAGAAATCTTAAGCCAGGCATGGTAGTACATGAGGAGCAAGAAGTCAGAGCGTCAGTTCAAGGCTAGCCTTGAACAAAACAAAACAAAGCATCCTTTTTCCCACCAGTTTCACCTCCAGTTTTCCTCAGTGACTAAGGAATGAAGGCTAAGCAGAATCTACTTCCTTTGTCTGCTCCTTTTCAATTCTATGTGCATCTTAAAAGCAGTATTTAAACTTCTTGTATGTGGCAAAATCTTTATTATGTCTGGTCCCTTTTGCTAGGGTGAGTCCTCATGTGAAAGACAAAGTGGACTCCGATGATTGTAGTTTCCAGGTCCCAGCTTGGAGAGAGAGGCTGTCATCTATAGGAAAAGTGGCCTCCTTAGAGATAGAGGCTCCGTGAAGGAGGATTTGCCTCCTCAAAATCTGGACTACTATAAGGAGTACAGATCCACAGCCAGGAAAATCTACACACCCTGCTTACCAAGGCTGACTCCTGTGACCTGTAGCAGATGTACTTGAAAGGCAAAAGAAAGATGACTTCTGTGCACAGCCGCACACAGAGAATCCTATTTTACAGCAGTGGAAGTGTCCTAAACTAGCCTCATCTGTTTGTCAAGCCCTTGAAATGTGGCACTAAAGACCTCATTTATGACTTCAAATGGTCTCAAGTCAGCAGTGACCATCACACACCTGAGCATCAGTTTTCCAAGAGGAAGGGGCAGAGACACTGCTCCTGAATCACTGGACGACTGTCAGTAACCTCGGATCCCTTATGTAACATGAGGCACGGAACCTGGTACAGATGTTATCCGGGAGGAGGCCTTACCACCTTGCATGACAAAGTTCACACTTGGCTCTGAGCATGGGCTTCTCCAGGTACTGTGGTAGACTGGCTTCCACGCATATGCTGTGCCACCTCTCAAAGATCAGTTCTCTATTCTTCAGCAGGCTTATTTGTCATCTCCTGTGAGCTAGGTCACTGTGACCAAACAAACCTCTTAAACACTTGTGTGGGCCTCTAAGATACAGATGTACCACCCTGTGTATTCCTAATACCCTACTAGGACATTGCTTACTAGTCTGGCTTTGCCTTTCACCTACTGTTTAAGATGTGCAGAGGGGAGGACACAGTGAATATAGATGCTCTGACAACTAGGGCAGAGTAGGTACCACTCAGTCTGGTGAGTAAGATATTTTCTAATCCATCCTCAAAGCAAAAGTGCTTTTTGCTTTGAGCACTTGTCTGCATACATCTCCAACTTTGTTGGACCAAGCAGCTAGGTAGAGCATTAAAGACAACTCTTCCCCACCAACAGGGCCGAAAGTTCAGCCCCTTGCCCCTTGAATGCCTTACTATGTCACTGTCCAGTGTTTGTATGTTTCTTCCAGTCTTTCTGACATACTTCTCTCTGCAGGGAGATTAGACTGTGTGTACACCTTTGTATCTTTTCCTGTCTTTCCACCCAACTCTAAGCAATATCACCCTAAACCTACCCCACTCTCTCCGGCCTTTGTTTACATAGTGCCAGCTGATGACACAGTGGTCATCACTGGATGCTGAACAGGTCAGCCATTAGCAAGATTTATTCTCTTTAAGAGACAGGGTAGAATCTTGTCTCATCCAGTTCTCCAGGAGATGATGTACTCCTCTCCCCTACCCTCAGGCACCTGGTCAGGTAGCTTGGTATAGGCCTGTGCTTATTTTGCAGTCTGCTCTTTAGGCTGGGCCAACCTTTGAGCCATACTTGTCTGTCACAACTATATTCACTTAACTGGCTACCTAGCTGTCCTGATGTTCCTTTCCACTTAGCTCTTGAAGGCCCTTTTCCAGTGGGACAGTGTGTAAATAATTCACCTGGTGCTTCCCATTTGCTCTTGAGAATCATCCTTACACTAGTTCCACTTCTAGTCTGTTCCGTAATTTCTCCCACACACTCTTGTGATCATAGGCAAGTCACAACACAGAGCAGGGTACCTTGACCAAGAACAGGTGGCCCAAGCATCTCCCAAAGTGGAATGTGATCTCTGAAGAGCAATACCTCTGCACGTGGCCTGATGCTTGCCTACATTTACTAGTACTTTGTGGCCTCTGGCATCATTCCCACACCAGATGGGACAGACATCTGTATTTAAACTTTATTACAAAATTATAAAGCAGAGCTCTGTAACAAAAAATACACATTTGGGTTTGCTTTTTAACACCCAGGTGAGAAAATCTTAATATAAGCCACTTGGAGTAACACATTCACATCCAAGAGATTTTAACAAATTTGTACAATATAGACTATTAATTCCTTTACAGCTTATTAGTTTAGAACCGGCTATTCCAACCTATGAACCAGTTAGCTGTCCATCTTTCAAAACTAAGTCTCAACTGAAATCTTGGCGCAATCCCAGCGAAAGCCACAGAATAGTTGGAAGGATTAGGTGTTTCTATGTTAATTAAGAACAAGGATCCGTGAAGAAAAGAAAGGGGCTCAAGTATTTAAAAAAAAAAAAAAAAATCAGGTTTTCTACCTGGGTTAGATGTTAACTGAAATGGAATCTTAGAATTCCAACTTTCATTTGGTGTTACAATAAAAAACTTGTTTGACATCTGGTCTTTTTTCCAAAAGAAAGTACCAAAAGATGAAAGAGATTTAAAGGTAAGTTCTTTCTTCAAAATAAGTAACATCAGGTCTGACTGTTACTCGGGTTGCTAACAGGCCATCAGTGTATTATTTCTGTTCCTGTCTAGGAGGTAGGGCGGTAAGGCCTCAGAAGAGAAAGCAGTCTTAAGGGAGAGCCAGCTTTGAAGTCTTGTTAGGTCTTACTGAGCTGCATAATCAGACCTGTTTCACAGTGGAGTCCCGGAGCAGCAAAATCGGTGGGCTGTGCTAAACTGAAGACATTGTAAACTACAGTACCTACTATTCAGAAAGGGAGGAAAGGTAGTTTTTGTGGAGGAATCTCACGATTCCTGACACCTGCAAAGGCTTTGACCCAAAATCTAGCCATCTGGACTTAGAATGCAGAGGTAAAGTGGCCTGGTGGCTCTGACAACTACTTCATGGAATTATTTGATCCCCTAAAGGAATTTAGTGGTTAACGATGGGAAGAAAGCCTAAGTATTCAAATAGCCCCCTTAGAGGTGTCCCTCTGCTTTCCAGGGTCATGAGTGGTTCTTCCAGTCTCACTTAGCTGCGCAGTGGAGGGCAGTGGTTTTTATCCAGTGCTGAGGGCGCATCCTACAGGAGCACACAGCTCCTTCTGTGCTTTGTTGAGCTGTTCCAGCAAACACCACTCAAACCCTTCAGCCGTGTCAGTGTAAAGACCCCACGAGGCTGGACTCATGATTCAGAAAATGATTCATTCTGACCTACCCAAAAGGCTAAGAAGCAGCCATGGGCACAGTCCAGCCTCATTCAGCACCTTCCGGTGCCTCATACACTGTCCTATATGTCTGCTCTCCAGGAACTCCATGAGCAGCCAGGCTAAAGAAGAGCAGAGCTCTCTGCCTAAGTTCCTATGCTTTTGGTAAGCAAATTCAAAACCCAAAGAAGAGAAACAATGTTTTTTTCTAAAAAAAAAAAAAAAAAAAACCAAAACAACAAAAAAACAAAATCAGAAGCCAAAGATAAACAGAGAGCCATTGCCTCCATTTCTCTTTCCTCATAACCCAAGGTGAAGGATGGTGCAGTCAAACTCAAAGAGAAGCAGTAGAGATGACCCATGTACCACCTCCTAGGGACTTCCCAACAGTTTAGGGGTCAGGTCAGCAGACTGATCATTTCCAACCCCAACACTTAACAGAAGGGACTCAACTTAGAAATTTTTCTACAGCATTTAGACTTAATTTCTCACCAGAGATCAGCCTACTGATCCAAATTCTGACCTAGGGAATACTATTGGTCTGATTAACATATTTTTTGGTCCATAAAAACAAATGGATTTTAGGCAATGTAGCAGACTTAAAACACGCAGAAACCAGAAATTTAAATCCAGATGTGCTGGGGGAAGGGAACCATTTCCAGCAGGACTTTTGATTGATGAAGCAGGAGGAGTGGTGTATGGGATGTGTGAAATGTGTCTTAGGTTCTCAGGAAGGGGGAAGACACGATCCAAGCTCTGGAAAGTCCTCTTCATTGATTACCATCACCACCCAAAATCAGTGAAGCAGGCACTCACCAACGTGATCTGAATCAGTTCCCACTGGCTTTGGGCTCTGCCATCTAAGAGGTACACCCCATGGCAAGACGGGTATGCCGGGTACCTCTGCTTGTCCTAGTCTCAACACTGCCAGTTTCTTGCAATAAACTGCCTTTGTGCATCGGACCAACCCTGAGCCCAGACACTTTGGGCTATGTCCTATAAGGCACTGAAGAAGCCAATGCTAGCCCTCAAGACCGGAAGACGTGCACTGCTCGGATGACATACTGCCGGCAGATAGGACATTCGTTCATGCGTTTGCCACACTTGGTACAGGTCACCATGTGGCCGCACTCCAGCAGAACACAGTCAATGGGTGAGTCCATGCAAATCTTACACAGGTTCTCCTCCAAGCCAGAAGGCACTGCTCCCCCTGGACAAACAAGGCAGAAAAGAAGAAAAGAATGTGTCTCAGTGTATGAGGGGCTACAGGGAGCAAACCATCAAATCCACACTTCCCTCAAACAGAGTGCCTTCAAAAATAAAACCAAAAAAAAAAAACACAAACCACAACTCAGTACCCAAACCACCTCCAGCTGCTTTTACTCTCAGAAAAAAACCATTCCAGGACTCAGAACTATAGGATAGTTCAGACTAAAAGAAGGAACTTAGGACAAGGAGGCTGTAATATACAGTGAGGGACCAGGACTTAGGTACCACATCCCCTGAGGCAGAACGTACAAAAAAGATAAAACTGGTTCAGAAAAGTTTGGATATAAACAGAACTGTAATGAATGGTTCATTAGAAATAATAAATCTTATCTATAAACACAGTCCAAATTTAATAAAGCTGAGAATCATGTGGGACCCCATGTACTATCCGACAATCTACCTCTATGCTTCTGAAAAGACTTCCTGATGGAGGGGCATGGGCAGACACGCTGTTCCATTTTCTGTGCTACATTCATTGAATTTTATTCCTACCCCTGACTGCTTATCACTTCATGATAATTCACTTATCTCCCACAGTAGACTAAGAGCTTAATTTAACTTTTCAGCTGACAATCATAAGCTTAGCATTTGCTTTGTGCTCTGAGGTCAGATACTTATCTTTGAATTCCCAAAACATGAGTCACGTGGTAGGTATTCTTTAAAGATCTGATAATGAACATTCTGCCCAGGGAATGATAACTGTTCACATTGACTAACTGCCTACCATGTGTCAGGTCGGGTCCTAAGAGCTTTCTGTATTAACCCAGAGGTGCTGAAATAGGTTTTATAGATGAGACAACTTGGGCCATAGTAAAGTGGCTTGCCCAAGGACACAGGGCTGCTGAAGTAGTTCACATTCAAATCAGAGAGGCTCATGGATATATGGCCTTCTGGACAAGAGCTCCAAGGGCAGAGACTATTCAGACAGCATTAACTACCCAGAGTTACCTCTGAGTACACAGAGTTCTCAATAAATATCAACTGGCTAATGCCAGTAGTGGACACAGCTACTATCCTAGTTCAGCTGAGAAAAACTTTGATATTCAGAAGCTCAGCTATCTCCAGTGTGTCAAACGAGTCTAAACTAAGCAGTCATAAAACAGAATTGTTCTCACACCTGCCACTTCTCACACCTGGACTTCTCCAGGGGAATTCTTTATCGGTTGCTTCTAGTCTTTCTCTTCTGTTCTGGACTAGTCTAAGTCACGTCACTGAATGCCCAAGTATTTTCATGTAGCTATTCAAATAAAACTATGTATGAAATATACATCAAATCAAAGAACACTTCCCACAGGAGGGGGCTGACTGTGAGAGTTCCACCGAGGTAAAGCCCCTAGCGGCCTGCATACAGAGGTTAGAAAGGTACGGGCATACCTAAAACAAGCTTGAGTCATTTACAGAATTTCAGTCACTCATTACTTCACTGAGGAGAGACAATAAATGTATCAGCTCAGTGGTCAGCATTCTCCAGGAAATGAGAAGAAGGATGGTACCAAGTAGATTAATCTGATCTTGGTATTATCTGGGGTGGGGTTGGGAGGAGGGCTAACCCAGATGATTATAGGGACTAAGAAAAAAAGCTCAACTGCCCATTCTGCACAGAAGACAATTTTACTTAGGATTTTTTTTTTCCTTTTGGTTTTTCGAGACAGGGTTTCTCCCTGTAGTTTTGGTGCCTGTCCTGGATCTCGCTCTATAGACCAGGCTGGCCTCGAACTCACAGAGATCCACCTGGCTCTGCCTCCCGAGTGCTGGGATTAAAGGCGTATGCCATCACTGCCCATTAGGATAAATTTTTTTTAAATGCTCTGTAGGCTGTAACACTACTCAGAATAGCTGTGGAAATCCCCCTCAGCCCATTCCTCAAGGCTTTGAAAAATGTACAACGTGTGTGACATCCCACAGGCTACCAGGGTTCTACAGTGTGCTCTGAGGATGTCCCAATGGTGCCCTTTAACACACCGGCGGGTGTTAAGGCAGCCGGGTGGGATATGCATTTGAAGCTGCTCAGAAGGCCTCCACAGAGCACCGCTGCTGTCTGCTGAGCAGCTCTGACTACATTCAAACAGGGGTCTCTTGGGTCACCACCCTTGGTTTTTGGTTTGCCTGGCAGAGACTTAAGTGGGCTAGGTGCAGTGAGTCTTATAAGCCTTTAATTCCGGCACTTGGGAAGCACAGGGAGGTGGATCTCTGTGAATTTGAGACCAGCTTGGTCTACACAGTTGAGTTCCAGAGCAGCCAGGGGTACACAGACAGATAAAGACTTAAAAACAAAACAACTCAGCCAAGTGGTGGTGGCACTTATCTTTAATCCTAGCACTTGAGAGGCAGAGGCAAGTGAATCTCTGTGAGTTCAAGGCCAGCGTGGTCTACAGTGTGAGTTCCAAGGACAACCAGGGCTGTTACACAGAGAAACCTTGTCTCAAAAAAACAACAAAACTCAAATGACATCTCTGAAAGTGTAGACTCTCCCTAGACAGACCATATGGAAAGACACATCGGGCATCTCCATCTCCAAATTAGCCAAGCCCCTAAGCTGCTGTGGCCTTCCTTCATAGGGGTGGGGCAAGGACAATGTCTGATTCTGTGCTTTCCCACAGCCTCTCTGTAAGCACATATGCCTACAAGTCTTAGATTGTGAACAACCATCAGGGTTGTAGACAGAAAACAAAACTGCTAAGAGCCTAAGCCCATCCTTAACAGAAACAATTACATACCGTTTTGGTTTTCACCACCAGACACTGAAAATGAAAGAAAAATGTGAATATGAGTGTGATGGTACAAAAGTAGTCTCCCAATCCCAACCCCACCCCCGCAATCATTTCTGCACTCCAATCAGGTCGAGGCTGAGAATGGGACCTGGCTGGAATCTGGACAGATGCTCACCCTCCTCACTCACTGTGTACTGAGAACTTACATGGAGCCCCAGCTGTTCTATCTATTTTGTTCTGAGAAAAGCATGTTCCTCTGGTCTACAGTAGCCACTATGTCAGCTGAAAGAGCACTGCATATACATGATATCCTTTAATATTGCCCTTGAAGCCATCATTAAGGTAAAAAGGAATGAAGAATTTGACTATTCTGTCAAAGCTCCCACATGTTATTATTATTATTGCCAGGCATGGTAGGTACATGCCTATAATCCAGGCACAAGAGGCAGAATAAGGATCAGGAGTTCCACGACAGCCTGAGCTACGTATTGAGAGCCTGTTTTTAAAAACTACAGGGTGGTGGTGGTGGTGGTGGCGCACACCTCTAATCCCAGCACTTGGGAGGCAAAGGCAGGCAGATCTCTGTGAGTTCGAGGTCATCCTGGTCTGGTCTACAAAGCAAGTTCCAGGATAGTCAGAGCTGTTAATACAAAGAAAGCCTATCTCAAAAAACAAAACAAAAAAACGGGTAGCAGCGGTGGTGGTAGCAGCAGTAGCAGCAGCAGCAGCAGCACCACCACCACCACCACCACCACCACCACCACCACCACCACCACCACCACCACCACCACCACCACCACCACCACCACCACCACAGGACAGAGCAGTACACACTTTTAATCCCAAGCACTTGAGGAGGGACAGGCAGGTGGATCCTCTTTGAGTTTGAAACCTAATCTCCATATCAAGTTCCTGCCCACCCAGGGATATGTAAGATCCATAATTAAACAAACTGCAACAGAAAAGAAAACCTACTCCCAAAGTCTTTGGGACCCTAAGGAGACTCTTGAGATAATCCCAGAGAAGACAGACTCTTTGTCAGGCCCCAAGTCTATAACCAATGCAATAAGACTTCTCCTAATTTGGTAAATCTGAGCTACTCAAATTTATTAGAGGAAGGCCCAAAGCTTGGCTTTTAACAACCATTTATCATACAAGGAACCAAATGCTCGAAGAACTGTATCAGCTAAGTGATGAGAAATGTCCAGTTCAAAATGGCCAAAGGAAAGGCTAGGGGTATAGCTCAGTGATAGAATGCTTGCTTGGCATGTGGAAGAAGACCCTGGGTTTGATCCCCAGCACCAGGATAGAAAACCCAAGCTATTGCTATTGTGTTGGGGATGCAGCTTAATAGTACAGTGCTTGCCTAGCAAAACAGCCAAACATGTTTCTCTTCTGCAGGACTTTTCTGAATTTAATAGAAAAACATCTACAATGAATCAGTGTGAGAACAGTGTAAAAATCTAAAATGACACCATGCAAAATGATTTGGGAAATGAACAAGAAAAAGTCCAAGCCCCACTATATGCTAAATTTGCTTTCCAACCCAAAACTGATTCAAATTTAGTACTGTTGGTAGTCAGAATGAGTATGGAGTGTGTACCACGTGGCAGGAAGACAATGGCTTAGGAAATCTAAGTGATACTACTAGAGCCTTCTGCATAGGCTGCTCTGTGGATTCAACTGTGTACTCGATGCCTGTTCCTAGTCTTGGTACTTGAGAAGTACAAATGTGTAGGCTGGCTTCCTCTGAGGCTAAACACATGGGGATCAGATCAAGTCAGCCTGATGCTGTCATAAGTTCAGTCACCACCCAGATAGCCCCTCACCCAGGTGCTGGAGTCCTTTCTGATCCTTGTACAGTCGAGTCACCCTTTCCATCAGTTCCCACTTCTCACAGCAGCCCTTATAGTTGACAAAGTTGCGAGCCAGAATCTCCTTCAGCTGCCGCACCGTCAGGCTTTCAATGTCCTCCAGGTGGGTCAGGTCAGACAGTGAGGCCCTCCGGCCTGGGACGAAGCTGTCCTCTGAGCCAATGGACTGCAAAAGCAAAGATGTGATCAGGTGGCTCAGCTCTTGTGTCCTTTAAGCTCTCGTCAAGGAACCCAGAGAACTCAACAAAATGCACTTTGTTGACCAACCTCAAGGAACACGGAAAAGAGGGAACCTGGCACAGAGCTTGGCACAGCAGCAGACTGGTCTTTCCCTGCCCCGTCACGTTGTACTTTGTGCAGACAGCCACACACTAGAATATCATCAGTATTATGCATATAAGGAGCACCAGAGGGCCCTGGTTCTCAACACTGATGCCTCCACTAAATAGTAGACATTACTTTTCAATATATTTACCATCTTTAGCCTGTTACCCCTCTCCAAAGGAGAGACAGCTGTCCTGACACACAGGGTTCCTGTGGAAAGTAAATGTGGCAGTACAGGATACCCCCAGGTATGGTGCTGGCCTTTCTCAGTACAGACCTCCTTGGCAGGACTCCACACATGGCCTCATCTTACCTCCTTTCCCAAGAGTGGCTACAGCACCATAGGTACACAAGACAACAAGACTTTCACAGAAGCACCCAGAGCGTGGGCCAGAAGGTTCCCCATCCTCCACTGTGGCCTCGAATCTGCTTGCTCACACTAACAGCAACAAATGTTAATCTGAAATGCTACTACTAAACTCAAGGACTCCAGGACTATCCTCAGCGACTGACCCTTCTTGTTCCACCTGAGTCTGCTGAGGCTCCTAGGAACATCCCAAGAAGACCAGGGAAAGACCAAAGGCAAAAGTGCAGACCGAGCAGAGGCCCCACCTGGGTCTCATCCTCGATAGGTACTCTGGCTGTGCTCTCCAGGAAGACGGGCTCCTCGTGGTCCTGAGACACATGGCCAGTGGCCTGTGGGAAGAGAAAGGTGCCATCACATCCACAGAGATCTCCCAGTGACTTACATAGTATGGGCCTCTTTCAGTTCATACAAATGTCCAAAATGTATTCCCATCAGCCCCCAGAAGCCAAGGCTCCCAAAGCAGTACCACAAATGCCTGCTTTCTAACAGTAACCCTCAGGCAAAGAAACAATACAAAAGATTTCAATGGATGGGAGGCTGCATCAAGAACAAGAGTGCTTGCCGGGCGAGGGTGGCACACGTCTTTAATCCCGGCACTCAGGAGGCAGGCGGATCTCTGTGAGTTCGAAGCCAGCCTGGTCTACAGAACTAGTTCCAGGACAGCCAGGACTACACAAAGAAATCCTGTCTCAAAAAACAAACACAAACAAAAAAACCAAGAGTACTCTAATTCTGCCCACCAGTAAGGGTGGCATTAGTCACCATATATCACCAGTCTGCTCTCAACTTGGACAGCTGAGGTGAAAGTTTCTCTCCACCACATACCTTTGAACACTATGTCAAATGGCCTCCCCACAGCCTCCACCCATTACCCCGGTTCTGCCTCTGGACCAATGTCCACTAGTTTTTCCAAACACCTCATTCACATCCTTAACATAAATCTCCCTGGCTTCCTCAACTGACCATCACCACCCCAAGTCACTCTGCAGCCTCTCACATTCTAGAGATGTGTTCTAACTAGTAGGACATGATGTCACCTGCCTGTAGCTGTTCCAATGTGTTTAATGGATTTAAGAACCTAACACCCTAAGGCGACAGAACACAAATGCCTCAGCTTGGGTTCCACTCCAGTCAGCAATCCCACTTCTCAAAAGGGCTCATTTTGTCAGAGTGGTCAGGATTGTGACCTCCTACCTTTATTAACCACATCTGCCACAAACCCCTATCTAGCTCCTCTTCACTTCCAGCTGCCTCCAGGCAAAGGGCCTGTGTGAGCTCAGAGCAAAAGACATGTCTGGGTTCACAAGCCTTTTTCCCCAGAACCTGGATGAACAGTAAAGAGACAACTTGGGCCAGGCAGTGGTGGTGGCGCACGCCTTTAATCCCAGCACTCAGAGGCAGAGGCAGGAGGATTTCTGAGATTGAGGCCAGCATGGTCTATGGAGCTAGTTCCAGGACAGCCAGGGCTACACAGAGAAGCCTTGTTTCGAAAAACAAAAACAAAAACAAACAAACAACAACTTGTGAAACTAAAGTGATCTGACAGCTCTAGCCATTGTCAGGAGAAGCAAATAATTACAATGGAAAAAAGCAGAGCTTAAAACACCCTAAGTGACGACAGGAACTCATACATAGGCGGATGCAGCCAACAGTGTATGTATGCATCAACACCTCTGGTTTCCTACCAGTTTCATGTAGATGTGGTACCCACTAGCCACTCGGGTACTGTCACCTTGGTATTACCTGAGGGTCTTCCAGAGGCTAATCTGCTCCTGAGTAAACAGCTTTTGAATGTCTTTTATTCCCTAGAAAGAGGAACTGGAATCCACGCTGCAAATCTTTTCTCAGGTTGCCTACTGGGTAAATAAAAATCTATAACTAGTATCTATCTGTCCACTATTCTGCTTACTGCACATACATGTCCTTCCCTAGGAATACTGCTAGGACATCAAAGGTGAAGGACAGATCCCTGGTAGGGCTAACTGTTAGATTTGCATTCTTGCTTGCTGTGATGTAGCATATAGCCAAGTTATTTAACTTCCCTGTGCCTGTTTTTCCTGTTTGCAAAGTTCAGGTATCACCAGAACAGAAGTACATCGACACTAAAGTCCTCTAAAATCTCAAGAGGAAAGGTACCCATTAACACACAGTACATAGTATCACCTGTTGGTGTAGGAAAATTCTGGTTAGTGACAAAATTCTAAGTTTATAATCTTACATTGAAAATCTGAAGATCTGTTCATTCTCCAACCTCCATGCCCCTCTTCCTCTTTTGAGACAGAATCTCATGCATTGAACTTGCTATGTAGAAGAGGCTAGCCTCAAACTCCTGATCCGTGTGCCTCCATCTCCCCAGTACTGAGATCAAGGTATGCAGCACCATTCCTGACCTGCCTGAAGGCTCTTCATGAAAAAATATTTACTCTGGTTCCTCTCCTTGCTCACTACACACAGACTAAAGTGCTCTAAGAAACCAAGCAAAAAAAGAAATGTATAGCAAGAGGTCAAACTTGTCCAAGAGACCAAGAGCTAGAGCTTAGAAGAGCATTAATGACCAGCTGCTATCATATTGGCCTTTAAATGTGTTAAGAGCTGAGTGAGTGCCAGTCCTGGCCAAGGAGGTAACCCACAAACGAGAGGCACAGCCACCACCCATGTCATGTGGGAAAGGAGCCGCCAGTTCTCGGCAGCTCCATGCTCCATAAATATACTGTGGGAGTTGAGCCTCTCTACAACCTAGCAAGCCCAAAGGAGTCTCGTCCATTATTCTAGGCTCGAAGTGTGCCCCAGAGGACCAAGGGGTCAGAAACAAAAATAATTGTGGGGTTGGTGGTGTAGCTCAGTGGGAGAGCCCTTTGCCCAGCAGCATGCTTGAGGTCCTGAGCTGAATACCTAGCACCAAAAATAAACAAAAATCAGTCGGGCTGTGGTGGCACACGCCTTTAATCCCAGCACTTGGGAGGCAGAGGCAGATGGATCTCTGTGAGTTCAAGGCTAGCCTGGTCTACAAAGCAAATTCCAGGACAGCCAAGGCTGTTACACAGAGAAACTCTGTCTTGAAGAAAAAACATCAGTGGATATAGAGTCCTGATCTAGGCCCCAATCTTTACAGTGCCCATGTCCTGTAACTTGCAGCATCAGTGAAGGCCTTCCATAGATCTGTTTGACACCACCACTCCTTGCTCACTACACACAGACTAAAGTGCTCTAAGAAACCAAGCAAAAAAAGAAATGTATAGCAAGAGGTCAAACTTGTCCAAGAGACCAAGAGCTAGAGCTTAGAAGAGCATTAATGACCACCAAGAGTGGGTGTCATACTTAGTTTCTCTCTTCCAAGGCTTCCTCTGCTTACTATGGACTCTCCACGCCTCAGCCTGCTGCTCTTGGCTTACCATTAGACAGCTCTCACACAGGGACCAGGACAGGAGCAAGGTCCTGTCACAGTGTTTCCCATCTCTCCCCTCCCTGCCCAGTCAGGACAGACCTGTCAAAAGGGTAGTAAGCTGGAGGTTAAATTTGAACCAAACTAGAGAAGTAATTGTGAGTTTCCTCAAAATATTCTGAAGTAGCCGGGCGGTGGTGGTGCACGCCTTTAATCCCAGCACTTGGGAGGCAGAGGCAGGCGGATCTCTGTGAGTTCGAGGCCAGCCTGGGCTACAGAGTGAGTTCCAGGACAGGTTCCAAAGCTTCACAGAGAAACCCTGTCTCGAAAAACCAATATATATATATTCTGAAGCAATGATTTTTTTTTTTAGGTCTAACTGGGGTATGATGGTGTTACAAACAAAACCCACAAAAACATGGTACCAGGTCAACCATTCCCGAACCCAAAGGATAAGCCTGATGACCAGAAAACATGACTTCCAGAATCAACAGGCAGAAAAGTTCACATCTCACACTGCCTCCCACCCCATTCCCACAATGCAATGGAAAGGAAATGAGACTTGGAGCAGACGTGGAGGTGAAGAGACCGCATGCTGACCCCTACCTGGTTTTCCTGGGCTCGGGGAGCAGAGGTGGCTTGTGCAGGTGAAGAAGGGAGGCCAGGTGAGGTAGGAGGTCCTGTGCTGGTGTGGGGCTGTGTCAGGAAGGCCTGCTGCGCAGGTAAGTCCGGGGACAAAGTGGGAGCGTGAGTCCTGTCCGCCTCAGAGATTACAGGCTGCTGGCCAAGCACCAAAAACACCAGCTCTTCTTTCTCCCGGCACATTTCGGTAGAGATGTCATGGAGGCTGAGATAGTCCCTCAGGTCCTTCACCTTCATCTTCATGAGTTCCTCCCGCTGAAAGGCTGTGGCTCGGAACCGTAGGCAGAGGAGGCAGAGGCGTGGCCCATTCCCCTCTTGGCTTGAACAAGTCATGCAGAAATTTTTCTTACAGTCCAAGCAAGTCTGCTGCTTAGAGCAAGAGACAGAGGAAAGCATGTCAGCTTGGAAGAACAAGTCAGAAAGTGGGATGGGAGCTACAAGACCAGCAGGGCCAGCAGGGCCTCCTCCAGGAGCTCCTGCTCTACTAAACTGTTCCCTATATCCAAGGTGTGAGTCACACTGCGGCTGTCGGATCAAAGGCCACTTGGAGGTGGCAGACCGCCTGTGTCTGTATCCACCAACAGGATACCTGACATTTATACACAACACAATCATTTACATTTATAATTTAATTTAAGGCTTATATAATTTTTTCCCCCAGACAGGGTTTCTCTGTGTAGCCCTAGCTGTCCTAGAACTCACTCTGTAGACCAGGCAGGCCTTGAACAGAGATCTGCCAGCCTCTGCCTCTGCCTCTGAGTGCTGGGACTAAAGGAATGTGCCAGCAACGCCCAGTGGCTTATGTAATTTTTAATTCACAAAAAACCTGAGGCTATTAATAGTGATGCCATATTTGGAATAAAAAAGCTCTGCCTTTTTATTCATGTCTCCATCTCAAATGCTGTTGTTCAGAGTATAGGTATGTTACATTGGCCTCTCTGGTGGTGCTCAGTTTCCCTACCGGTAAAAAGTAGGTGAAAACAGGTCATTGTGGAGATACAGAAATAATGCATTGAGGCACACCTGATTCATAATGGGTTTTAAGGAGAGGAGCTGGGGTTCAGCGCCTATCTGTGCCCCTTTCTACCTGACTGCTGAGGAAGGAAAGCAGGTGTATGAGGGTTACAGTGGGGGATGTTTCTGTTGTTAGATTTTGTTCATCTTTGTTTTTCAGTGCTTGACATTGAACCTAGGACCTTTTGCAAGCTGGGTAAGCGCCATGACACTGAACTACATCTTTAACTTTTGTTTTTTTGGGTTGTTTGGTTGGTCAGTTGGGGTTTTTTTTGTTGTTTTTTTTTTTATTTGTTTGTTTTTTGAGACAGGATTTCTCTGTGTAGTCCTGGCTGTCCTGGAACTTGCTCTGTAGACCAGGCTAGCCTTGAACTCAGAGATCGGTCTGCCTCTGCCTCAAGTGCTAGGATTAAAGGCATGTGCTACCACTGCTACCAGCCTTGGTTTTTGAGATAGGGTCTCACTATGTAGCTCAAACTGGCTCCGTACAGATTACAGATTTCGGGCATGTGTCACCATGCCCAGCTAGCAGCTACTGTTAATACTGGTATCAATAGAATTTACTGTGATGCTACAGTAAAATCTGGCTTATCATTTCATTCTAAAGACCCTTAAATTTTAAGTATTAGTGTTCTTCCCTGATTTTTTACAATGAGAGAAACCAAGAATTAGAGAGATCATTATATTCAAGGTCAGACACTAAAGGCAGAGCCTGGATTAGTCAGTACCCTGTCCACAGAGACTCACAGGTTTCTCTGCTCCAGCAAGACCATTCAGAGTGCTGGGAAGTGGGTGGTACACTCCAAGATAAATATTTAGATAGGACGAGGGACCGAGATGCTACCTTCTGTCCTTTATGAAAGCACAGAGTGTCTCAGTGTAGAGACCAGTGTGCCTGACCCGCAAGCTGGCACTGCCTGGTGCAGCTATTCCCTCAGTCACAGAGGGCACACCAAGGCTGCTCAATCCGCAGGCTGTGCGAGTACAGTGACATTTGACTGAGCTCTGCTCCAGCCAATGACAAGTCACTCTTCCAAGAGGTCATTCCTGGACATCCTGGGATCTTCTCAAGAGGTTAGAAATTTTTCATTTCATAGTCACTCAAATGTTACATTAGTTTACATGTTTCTGCTTCCTTTTTTCTCAATATGGAAACTGTTCAGCTACAAAAAGAACGCCTGAGACACACTCTCAGAGGCAGGATCAGGGCAAACTTTGTGTGGGGCTGAAGAGTCCACATAGTTAAGGGTTCTAGTTAGTGTTTGTCTACATCCACACAGTGCATGCAAAGCAAAAAAACCTGAGTGTTGCAAGGGGATATACACCAGTCTCCTCCTCAACTCGGCTATAACCAGACAGTAAGCTGTCCCGAGACTGAAAAGGACATGTGGCTACACCAGCAAAGAACAGTTGTGACCAGCAGCCACATAAGTGGAAAATAGGAGTTCTGAGTATTTGGGGTTCAGCCCTGATGCCTGGCTGAGAAGGAAGAGGCTGCAGTGTCATGAAGCTGTGGTCCCCAAGTGGAGTGTTACTTAAGCCAACGCAGTTTGACAAGACCGAGCTTGACTCAATTACGAAGCTTGTGTTGCTCAGTCAGCCAGATCCAAATCTCTCTCTTCTTCACATGTGTGTAGCTTCTGGATGCAAGATCAGAAGGCAAGGATGACAACCCAGTTTCTGCTACGCCCGCCCACCAGGGGCTCTGAAGTAAGCCTGCCTCTGAAACAGCTCTTAAGGAGGAGGGGAACACTTGAGGCTAAAATCCTGAGTGCAGGGGTGGGAGATAACAAAGAGAAAGGAGGAAGGCTGCCAGCAAACAAGAGAATCTGCAAAGGAAAGGCGTGTGAAAATTCTAACAGACGGATCAAAGCAGAATAACAAAATAACAAGAAAAATGAATCAGAAGAAGTTCTGAGCCTGAACTGAAACAAGAGCTAGCTAGTAGCCAGCTTTGGCCAGGCACCACTCTTTGGCTTCCTCCCCTTCACCAGGCTGTCTTTACTTCCCCAGTGTATCCTCAACCAATTCCCTGGCGCTACACAGGCCCACACTCTCATCCTGCTAGATTCTGAACCACTGAAATATCAGAGATCGTTTATATAAACCATCCTAAGACAGACACCCACAGGAAGGCATAATTACTCTCTTAACCCTCTAGTCCATCTCAGATCTCCTCAACACCAAAAACCCACTTCTGCTCTGCATATGAATACTATGCCCAAGTTCCAACCTAGTACAAACAGCCTCCTTCACCACCTCATGGCAGGCAGTCCAGCTGAAGAGGCGGGGCTCCAGAACTCCCTCTGAAACTGTGAGGCCAGTGCAGCACTATAGGTGGGTACTGCCAGGACAGATGGGGCAGTTAGCTTGTGGCTGAACTGCAGCCTGTCCCTTCCTTCCAGGACTGGGAACCTGACGGATGAAGGGAACACATCTTACCTGTATTCTCTCTACAAGTCTTTGCTGTTGTCTTATGCTTTGAACCCAGTAAGCACGCAGAAAATACTGACCACAATGGGAAAAAACAAAAACAAAAAACACGATGGTAGGATCCATGTAATCAAGGCAATTCAACTACTTCTAGAAAAGCTGTTTTAAAAGTCTCTGGCTGGGAAATGGTAAACCCTTAAGAATGCTGATCCACTTAAGCATGAAATTACAAATGAAAAATACTTGCAGCAGAAAACATCCTTAATATTCACAAAATTCGCTGTAAATTGCACAAAATTAATTCATAATTTAGAGCAAGAAAATATTGCACCACTATCATCTTTCATCATCCAAATTGGGATCTGTCTCCCCCGATGGAGTGCTTCAGGCCACAGTGGCTTTTCTCTTGTCTGACTACACGGTGTACTCTGCCTTGACCTCTCTGTCCCTCCGAAAGCTCCCTAAGCAGGGACAGCCTCCTTCATCTGTCTGCCTCGCCCAGACAACATGACACCAGCTAGACCTTAGCACTTATCTCCAATGGGGGAGGAGGGCAATTTCATCATCCCCATGCTCCCAAGAACTTCGCCTGTTACCTGTCCTCTTCAACTCAACACTCTAAATGTCTTCTTGTAGGCCCCTGCAAGTCGAAGATCTGAGTCTGAATACTGGTTCTAGTACGGTGATAGTGAAATGTTGTTTATGGGGGGAAAAATGATATGTTGATGTCTCTTGCTGTTTACCAAGAACCTGTCATGTATCTTTTATAATTTTTTTTTCTTTTGGTTTTTTGAGACAAGAGTTTCTCTGTGTAGTCCTGGCTGTCCTGGAACTTGCTCTACAGACCAAGCTGGCCTCGAACTCAGACTTATCAGCTGGCCTCGAACTCAGGCCCTCTGCATGCACCACCACTGTCCTGCTTTCTTTTTAAATTTTAAACTCTAAGACTTTGTCATATGTAAAACAGGATTTGTTGGTTTCTAAAACTGAAATAGTCACTGTGAGGATTAAATGAGATCCCCCCCAACTCCCACCCCCACAAAAAAATCCAAATTAAAAAAAAAAAAAAAAAACCTGCTGGGTGGTGGTGATGAATGTCTTTAATCCCAGCACTAAAGAGGAGGATTTCTGTGAATTCCAGGCCACCCTGGTCTACAGAGTGAGTTCCAGGACAGCCAAGGCTACACAGAGAAACCCTGTCTCAAAAAGCAAAAACAAAATAAGGAAAGAAAAAAAGTCTAAGCAAGGAATAGTGGCATACCTATAATCTCAGCACTTGGGAGGCTGAGGCAGGAGGATTGCCCAGAGTTTGAGACCAGTTAGATTAATATGGTGAGGTCAAGGCTAGCTTAGGTTAGAGTAAAACTCTTTCTCAAAAACAACAAAATCCCAAAACAAAAACTAAAAAGTCTTAGAAAATTTTAAAAGTCTAAATTTTTGCTGTTGCTTGAAACAGGGTTTCACTACATAGCTCAGGGTGACTTCAAACTCACCACATCAGGTATATTTCACCACACCTGGCTAAGACCTTCAACAGTTCCTCTCATACAGTGGAAAGCTTAAAAGAATTATTTCCCCTTGGTTTCCTAGTGTCACCATTTTATCCTTGAATCCTACCAGCCATTCTGGGCTACAAACCTCTTCTTCTGCAAGACATGTGCTGCCTGAGGGCACTAATAAAGGGACAGACAAACTCCTACTGCAGCCCATTGCAGATGGTGTCCATGCTAGTGAGTGGGCTCCAGACTCTCTGTGAGGGTTTCCTTGTCTCTCAGGAAGCTCTGACAGGCTTTTGATAATGAGGACAAGGTTAATCTGCAGTCAGGCCTTGTATGCAACAGCTAACAGAGCCAATACCTGCCATGTTTCCAACATGGTGCTGGGCACACTTAGCCTCGGTTCATTCCCAGCACCAGAACAGGGCACTTCATAGCTGGGGCAATCCTACAGCTGGTGAGCACCAAGGCTAATGGTCATGCAGGAGCAGCTGCTCCCAGTCTATGCTGAGATGTCTTGCCTTCACTTGAACAGTTGTTCTCAAACATTCTGTAACTAGGTCAGGCCTGGGTCCCTAGCAAAACACAGGTAAAAGCCAGGTGGCTGGCCTGAGGTCCTGGAGTCATAGTGCAATGACACTTACCTTTCGGGTTGTGCTTGCAAAGTGGACTCCACAGGATTTGCAGCTTGGTTCGGAGCCTGTGGGGGAAGGAAAGGAGCTGTACCCAGGGTTGGAATAGGCTTGCGTCCTGGCTCCCTGTGGTGGTGGGGCCTCCTCAGGCTGTCCATCCAAGCAGAACCAGTTGCAGCAGGATGCCCACATGATAAAATCTGGTACAGGAGAGGAAGAGGTAAGAATTACTGCAGTTTTATCCCCAGGGACACAGGTAAGACAGGATACATCTCCACACCTGCTGAGTATGAGGCCGTGACTTTATGGGCCATGGAAGGCTTGCCACCTCTTCTACCACCACAGTCAGTATTCCACCAGAGCAAGGTGAGCTATAAAGGCTTTGCAAGGTTGCCTGTTCCTGATTTGTTTAATCTGAAATCTCACTTCATTCTTACAATTACAACCAGCTTAACAGCCACTTTGTTCAAAGGCATCGCCTTGCCCTGAGGCTCAGACAAAACTTTCTGTCACACACACACAATGACCATGGAGTGCTGTGGGATGGCCTGTATGCTGTAAATATATGTTGCTATGATTGATTGATAAATAAAACGCTGACTGGCCAGCAGCCAGGCAGGAAGGATAGTGTAGGCGGGACAAGGAGGAGGAGAATTCTGGGAGGTGGCTGAGGCAAGGAGACGCTGCCAGCAGCCACAAGGAGAAGCATGATGTAAGATACCGGTAAGCCACAAGCCACGTGGCAACTTATAGATTAATAGAAATGGGTTAATTTAAGATATAAGAAGAGAATGCAAGAAGCCTGCCTCAGCCATACAATTTATAAGTAATATAAGTCCCTGTGTGTTTAATTGGGTCTGAGTGGTAGCCGGGTGGACACAGGAATACTTCAGCTACAATGGAGGGTGAGTATTATAAATGGGCTAGCGCTAGGGACTAAGAAGAACACTGAGACTGTAAAAGCCCAGGTCTTCTGATCCGTACACCACATTATCCTGACTTTCCCTCCCACTAGCCTATACAAAATACTCTTAATCCACACTCCTGCTCCTTTAAGCTTCTGCGGTTGCACTGTTCTTTTTAAAGATTTAACCTCTTATTTATGTGTATGTGTGTCTGTGAGTAAATGAGTGTGTACTGGAACTGTAAAGGCCAGAGAGGGCATCAGATGCCTTGGAGCTGGAGTTCTAGGAGGTCGTAAGCTGCCCTACATGTCTGCTAGAACAACTCAGGTCCTCTAGAAGAGCAGCAGAAGCTCTTCCAGCTAGCTAAGCCATCTCTCTAGCACTGTTGCAGCACTTCTAACAGTTTCCTACTGATCACTTATTTCCTACTCTCCAACTTTAGCTCATCTAGGGCAGGGACTATTTCCTAATGTCTATACTGGACCCTAGCAGCATTGTCCTTTAATAAAGAGTGTTTTATTTATTTATTCCCATCACACATACCAAATTTAGGTATTAAGGACAAAAGAGATTGATTTTTAAGTTCACAGAACAAAAAGGACCCAACCCCTCAAATGTCAGAATGACCTGATGACAGTAAGGTCTACTGAACACCAAGCACTGCTGGGAGGCGTGAGTGCGTCCCATGGCAGAGTAAGCAGCCGGCTGCGTGGACATTCTGAGCCTGAGCTCTTGGCTCACACACACAAATGGATACTTCCTGCATTGCCTCTTTAACAATGGCGTTTTCATAGTTCAAAGACAGCAAACTGGAAGGAACTAAGAGGCAAATCAGTCCAATGATGGTCATTTTATAGAAGAACAGAAAGGGGCACAGGTAGGGGAGGGAACGCACCAGGCCCCATGGGTTACAATTTTAGGCTTCTTGATTCTCCCAAGCTTCTTAAGCTTTCTAACATGGCCTCTGACACACTCATGACATAGGTCATTTCCTTCTGTAAGCATGCTGGCTGAACACCTGACTCCCTGACCTGACCCCTGTGAGAAAAGGGGATGTGACAGGACCCAGGCTGTCACACAGGTGACTCAGTAAGGGCTGATGAATAGTCAAGACGTCTTGGCTAGGTGCACATCAAAACCATTTGTCCCTATCTCTGTTGATTGCCTGGGTCCCTAAGTTACCAGAGAAGAGAGACCAAATCTGCCTTTCTGCAAATTCACAGTACACAAGGCATGATGGTAAAGAGCACGTCACACATGCATCATAAGTTAAAATAAATGAGTTTTTGTGGGTTTTATTTGTTTTAAGGCAAGGCCTCAAGTATCCTAGGCTGTCCTTAAACTCACTACATAGCTAAGATGTCCTGGAACTCCTGATCTTCCGGTATCCACTTCTCAAGTGCACCACCACACCCAGCATGAATGCCCAGCCTAAAAGGAGTTCTTTGTTGACAAGGCCATGAGTAGCATTTCTCTGAAAAGGAAGTTTCACAATTCTTTAAATCACACGTTGATATGTCTGAGTGTGTACAGACAGGGCACACATCCCGCCCAGCTCTGCTGCCTGTGGGCTGTGCTGTCCACCTCTAACAGGTCACACCCTTTCTGTACTTCGTATGTGTCCCCTGACACTCTACAGGAAAATAAAGCGCTCAACAAATATTAGTTGCTTCCACCTGCACTGTAAAAATGCCTTTAACTACAATTTCCTTTGGGAAGGTAGACTGTAAACCCAGAGGTTTCATCAGTCACCAGGCAGCTTTCTGGGCCTGTCCGCAGGGGACAAGGGCATGGATGATTCAGTAACTTCTCTGAAAACCTCTCCTTAGTTAGGCATGCAGTACATGCCTTTTAATCCTAGCACTCAAGAGGCAGAGAAAGGCAGATCTCTGTGAGTTCAAAGCCAGCCTGGTCTACGCAGTATCAGGTTAGCCAGACTCCATCAAAAATAAAACAAGAACAACAAAAATCTCCTTATTCTCACACACACACACACACACACACACACACACACACACACACACACACACCCTTTACTAATGCCAATCCCTTTGTGCTTTCCCAGTACTCAGTAACCATACCCAGGGAGTTAATGGTCAGCCAGAGTTGCCAGTGCTCTAATGGAAGTCTGTACAAAGCACGGTGGTGGTTAGGGAGTGGGGCTCGCACAAAGATGGCAGAGGCAGGACAAGAAAAGAGTTCACTAAGGAGGTACCATCCTTGATATGACAGCAGGGAGAGTTTACCAGAGAGGCAGGAAGAGGGGCCTTTTCTAGGAAAACCAAAATGATATGCACCATAAAAGAGAAACTACAAAATGCTTAGAAGGGCTAGGGGTAGGGGTAGATGAGGTAAATAAAAGGACACGAGTTAACCAGGAGCCATAGAAAAATCGTGTATTCTAGAGGAGGGAACCAGGACTCTATCGTGACCAGCTCACTTGAATATTTGGGTGCCTTGTGGTAGTAAGCACTCTGTGGGACAGACCAGCAAGGGGCGGGTTAGGACAGGACACTGCTGCAGAAGTAGAGGCCGTGGGAAGGAGAGAAGCGGCTGGCAGATCTCTGACAGAATCAGCAAGATATGCCAATGAACTGAAAAGAGGGTAGGAGGAGGGTGCAAGGCAAATCTAAGGGTCTCCTATTTATTTACACACCAGGATAACTAAAGGGGGTTACTCACTAAGATAACTAACATCCTCAGGAGAGAGCACACGTAGGTGTTAAGATGATAAAATTGAGTTTCACACCAGTGGGACAGGCATGTCCATGTGTGCATGTCTAGGCTGAAGATAAGGGTTTAGGAACGCTTGACCTACTGGAAATCCATAGGGCCAGAGTGGGGCAAGAGATGGACTGAATGCTCTGAGTCTCTCCAGAAGGCTCTGAGAACAGAAGCAGAGGAAAGCCAACCAGGGAAGGGCGGAAGGATGCTCACAGGGGGAGAACCAGAAGAGTGTTGCTTCAAAGAAATCAACAGTGCTGTCAAATAACTCAAGGAATGGAACACAGTGAGGGACTTCACAACGTCTAAGGGCCTTTGTTTTAACAGAGTGTGAGTGTGCTCTGCCTGGGCAGTTCGGGAGGAAAGCAGCTGACTGACTGGTGACCACAGGAAAGAGACTGAAAAGTGAGGACCTGCAAGGCTGAAAGCTGCCTGTTCACAAACTTGATTGGAAGGAAGAGAGAAGGCAGCAGCTGAAGGGGACCCAGGGTCACCAGGGTAAGTGCAGGCACACAAAGAGATAAGGATTCCTAAAAACAAACATACAAAGAAAGAGGTAAGGGCTCTGTCATGTAAGCAGTAGACCTACATTGTAAGGTACAACCAGCAGGTAAACAAAGGCTGCACGCTGTACTGTTGTGGAATATTACTTTAACGAGGTCAAGATGTGCTACATTTGCTTATGTTGTTTTGGTTTTTTTTCCAGTTTTTCGAGACAGGGTTTCTCTGTGTAGTTTTGGTGCCTGTCCTGGATCTCGCTCTGTAGACCAGGCTGGCCTCGAACTCACAGAGATCCACCTGGCTCTGCCTCCCGAGTGCTGGGATTAAAGGAGTGCGCTACTGCTGCATTTGTTTAATTAGCTAAAGATGTGCTGCTGTTTCACCGTGCCTGCCTAAGGCACCTGATTGGTCTAATAAAAAGCTGAATAGTCAATAGCTAGGCAGAGGAGGGACAGGCAGAGCTGTCAGACAGAGAGAATAAGTAGGAGGAATCTAGGCTCAAGAGAACGAGAGAGGAGAGAACAGGGGAGAAAAGAGGGAGACGCCCGGGGCCAGCCAGCCAAAGAAGAAGCAGGAAAAGACATACAGAATGAAAGAAAGGTAGAAAGCCCAAGGCAAAATGTAGATAAAGAAGAACAGGTTAAATTAAGTTATAAGCCAGTGGGACAAGCATAAGATAAGGTCGGGCATTCATAACTAATAATAAGTCTCCATGTCTGTATTTGGGAGTTGGCTGGTGGTCCAAAAGAAAACCTGCTACAATACTCCACCAGCTTAATGAACACTCAGGAAGCAGCCACTATGCTGAGGCACTGGGACTACACAAGCAAGGCCCTCATCCAGAAGAGCTAAGGGCCAGAAGGACACCATAGCTACCCTCAGCCACTGTGATACTAGATCAGGCCCACTTCCCAGCCAGGAGTCAGAGCAGTCTAGCTTCCTCCACACTGTCTCATTTTCTTCAACCTCATGGGCCTCTTCTAAACATCTTAGGAGAACAGCTTGTTCAGTCTTGGCTGCTCTGAAAAGCAGCAGATGGCCCTGTGAGAAGACTTGACTCTTGCCACACT